TCTCATCTCCAGCCTCACCTCAAAATAATATGGCACCCAGAGAGAGTTAATGTGGAAAATAAGTGGAGGAAAAGAAAAAAAAAAAAAAGAAGAAAAAAAAAGAAACAAAATAAAAGAAAAATAAATAAATAAATAAATAAATAAAAAAGGAAGGAAAGATTCTCAGATATACAAAGGAATACGTGGGATTTGTAAAGCTGATCCTGGCTACATTAAAAATTTGAACAGCAAGGGTATCTTAATTGACCATGCAGTTCTCAGATGCAGACTTTGCTTGTTTGTTGTGTTTTTTTCTTTTTAATTCTGAAAAGCAAACAAAATGGTTATCCCACTACCAATCACCGAGGAAAGAATTCACAGTTCCTCGATACTCTAAGTTACTTCTTAAATCTCAAGACCTCCCCTCAATGCCCTACTGAAAACCAAACTAACGTCAGCACAGCACAGGCAGGCAGAGCCATAATCCAGGATGGCATTTTTATCTAGCAAGTAATTTTTTGTAGCCTTCTATTTCTTAATAGGGACCCCTCGAGGGTTGGGTTGGAGAGGATTCACTAGCATGCCAGTTCAGTTTTCCTGCGACTTAACACACATGGCACCTGCCCTCCAATGAGCACTGCATCACCCATCTGGGCCAGGAGAGGAAGGGGGAGTCAGCGCAGGGAAACTCTGCTCAAACAGCATGCTGGCACGATGATTAGGTCTGGTCCAGTGATCCGGAATAATCATTTGAAAGCTCACTAAGCATAATGGGTTTGGAGACATCCAAGCCTGGTCAAACCTTCCCCTGAGCATCCTTTACGCGTGGTATCAGCGTGTTTTGCATGTCTCATCAGTGTCACGGTAGCTGACATCTCATTATGCAGCCAAGGTAGAAGCGGACAGGTACTGAGTGAGCATTAGAACTACTTTTCTTTTCCCTTGTATTATTTAATTTATATCTTTCCATTATCCAGTGTATCATGAAGCTGTGAACTAATTAAGTCCTGTGGGATATACAATCAGTGGTGGAATTTTTTCCTTTTTTTTGCTTCTCCTTTCGGTAGGCTAAATTGCATTACATACAGATATAAAAATAATTGCACAACTCTTCCCAAGTTAACAATGGAGCAAGCTGCAAACACTAATGATGCCAAATACAACAGTGGGGCAGAGGCCTGCTGTTTACTTCGCGTGACCTACTTAAGTCATATGGTGGCAAGTACTTCAAACACAAAGTGAAGCAAGGGCCAGAATCAGTTTCTAAAGAAAGCCACAGTTGTTCTTTGGGGGATATTCAGGATCGGAGCAGGCCCCAGGAAAAGGCCAAGCTGGTGAACCCAAGTCTGATAAAATCTGCTAAGTCACAGGTCTCCAACCAGCAGCTTGAAACTCCCAGAAATTGTGGAGGTTCCTCTGAATCCCAACCTGAGTCCAGCTCAGACTGCAGCCATGCAAGCAATAGCTTGAAGGCCAGAGTAGAAGGGATAAATATTGCCTCACTTCCATAAAAATACATCTCTTTTTCTTGACTGAGGATGCTGCCCCAAAATTTTCAAAGGGTTCAACTGGACCATCAAATGGAAGTGATTGACTCAAAGCAGCAGCACGCACATGGTGAACAGGACACCCAGCATTTTCAAAAAACAGCGTTGTAATTTGATGAGAGTAACAGGCCGATTTTTGAGCAAAGCTATGTTGTGATAAGAGGTGGAAGAGCTCTCTTTTCTGCAGACTTAAGCCTCCCTATTTCATTCAGGTCATCCAAGATTTAAGGTATCTAGAACCAAGATCTTTTCATTAAAATAGATCTTTATATGTATTTATGAAGGGAAAAAAAAAAAAAAGTTAAATAAAATTAAAAAGAAAAAAAGCACCTAACAAAGAGTTTGTAGGTATGACTGATCCTCAAGTACTTGGAGCTTCTTTATATCCAAGACAATTAAAGAAGTTCAAAGAACAACCACCTCATTAACTTGCAGAGAAAGAACAAGTGGTGTTTACTAATCTCTGCAGGTGACTTTGGTGTTCACGGATTCCACATGCACTTGCAATTCAGAGGGCAAGGAAACACCTCAGAAATGTATATAATATGCTTTGGATGTGGCCAAGGAAATGGAGGAATGTGCCTGTCTGGCTGCATGTCGTTATTCAAAACCCAGCTAACAGAGCTAAGGTCTGACTCCTGGATGAGTTACACTTGGCTGTTTAATGCAATTTGTCAGTAAAGCTGATCCAGAGTGAATTAATGGGCTAATTCAGTCACTATTTGGATCCTATTCTGTGGAGTCAAGCAAGAGAAAAATACCATTCAAGTCTCCTGCTGGTTGAAGAAGGCATCAAGCTGATGGCCATGTCTCTGGCACTTGCTGTACAGTAGGATCCTAATGCATGGATTCCCCTTCAATGCCACCAGGCTGTGTCTGTGAGCTATTGGCAGAAGGGCTGCTAAAAGCATCATCCCATCATGGTTTGTGTTCATCTCATTTCCAGCCTACCTGCCAAATCCCCACTGATCATGTTATTCTCTTCCTCATTATATTAAGAATTACAGACAGGTCCTAATAGATATCTTATAAAGAATGAAGAAAAATGCCCTCTCCCTAACCTTTGTATCCCTTAGACTCCAGCTCCCAGGACAAACCTTTTGACTTTTATCCAATCTCTGCTCCAAAGCAAGTTTGTTCTCCTCTCTTATCAATGCTCCCTCCATGCTCTTGATAATACAAGCCTCTGTCCGCCTTTCTGTGATGCCTTTTTTCCATTCCGCTGCCATTCTGGAACTAACACTGCTCCATCACCATCTCAACATCTCTGCTCCCAACCTCCCACAAAACTCAGCTGTGCTAAGGCTTCACTCATTTGTCAGCCTGCCTGGGCATCCTTCAGCTGGCAGAAGAATAAGCAGAAAATGAAACACAGAGCAGAGTATCTGTGGTTTTGGAGTGCTTTGAGACCCTTATGTGAGAGTGCAATAGAGGTGCCAGATGTTATTATAAAGAGATGCGGCCCCATTACTTGTACACAGAGTTATGCTGCCTGCTAATAGCACCATTATCCTAAGGCACGTGGTGCTATTAATGCATTGCACTGCTTGGTGCAGAACCTGGGGACCATTATTTCCACTGGAAAGGTAAGGCCAGTTCACATGACATGATTTAAACCTCTACAGTGAAGCATGCATATGCTGCACCAGGTCGTAAATCTTCACGGGATGCTGTCAGCTAGAAAGGGACCAAAATTGAAACCATTTATCTGAACTCCCCACCCATCCACCTCTGCTCACCAGGCCAGTTTTGGGAAGAGGGATAAAATGATTCCAAATGCCTGCTGGGTTCATTAAGCAGCAGCAAATCCCAGATCAAAAGGCACTACTGGTTTCATCCTGCTCTCCTTTCACTCACTCAGGACACTCAGGACTCTGATTTTCCCCACACTGAATGGAAAAAGCACAGCAGAGACAAACCTCACAACTTATTCTGGCTGTCACCTGAGCCAAAAGGCCACCTGTCACCTTCTCATTAGTGAGGCTACAGGATCCATGATACAGTTGGTGATAACTCCTCCACGCTGCAGCTGGGGCTCTACGGCAGTTGAGCTGCACATTTGGTAAGGAAAACCTGAATGAAAGAAGTTGTTGCTATTTGATCTGATACTGGCCTAAGCACAGCCCCATGCTGGCCTCTTGCACTTGATAACTAGCAATTTTTATTTTAATTTTTGGCTTGGTTTTCCCCATGGCTATGCACATTTCAGGTAGCAGAGCTAGCAATGCTGACTAGCAAGCACAGGGGAGAGGAGTCAGCCTGCATCCTGCAGAATATGGGGAGCCAGGGCATCACGAGGGCTGGCAATGCTAAGAGGGAAAAGGCTACCTGTGGTACCTGTGATATGCCTTTATAGGCCAAGGGCAACATTAAAACACTTGTAATTTGTTTGTGTTTTCTTAAACAGAATGAAGAAAGCAATGGTGTTTTAGTATGTTTAGCTGCAGTAGCAAGATACACGTAAAAAAGATTTGCAGGGCAAGTATTAAAAGCCAAGAATCTGATGCGGGAAACACACCTAAATTACTTGGACAGGATAGTGCAGCTGCTCTGGGGTAGGGTGGTAGATACAGCAACCGAACTTTCACTGCAGACAGTTAAAAATTACCATGATAACTTTAATATCAATACTCAGCAAACGAACTTCAGTTTCCTAGTACTAAGAAGACCGCATGATAATTTGGCTTACTAGAGAAAAAACAGCATTAATTCTCATAAGTCAGGAGTGAAACTCTTCTGGTAGGACTCCACCAACTTCTCAGGAGCTGCGCATTTAAGAAAGGATAATGGCAAAGGGACGTTTGACATCCACCAAATATACCACCACTCTGAATTCCTTGTCACAAATAGAACTTGACACCCTCAAAAACTCTGTGACACCCCAAGAGCTCTAAAAGGATGGCTTAGGTTTGTAATTAATGCTTTTAGATATTGAATTGTATAATTATGTTAGTTCAGAATCGCAGATTTTTGTAATACACACTTAGTGGATGTCTTCCTAGCAGAGAGATTGTCCCATTCTATTTTGGATACTAAAGAAAAGAAGAAAACAAACAGAACCAGAGCTGCACAAATGCCGAATGCTAAGTCTCTGCCGGAGAGCTGAAACTCCGTACCTCATGGCTAAGGTTTCCGATCAAGTAACAGAAAACAACCCCATTGCAACAGAATTTGCATTTATATATACAAAAAGGAAAGTGTTAAAAAAGGTGCCTGCTGCCCAGAAAATAAGGTTAAGCTCATTTATGTCTCATAAAATACATGATTAACCATAGTTGACCATGAATTCAGCTGCGCAGCATTAAAACTGCTGCTCAAAGTTGGAAACCATTTAATATTATATATTGCTGCTACTCAGCTTAAATTGTTTTTGTGTGTGTGTGTGTGTGTGTTTTGCCTCCTTTAAATGTACACAATATTACAAATTTAATTTTAAGCTGTTTGAATCAGTCTGTAAAAAAGATTTGATTATACCTGAGTGTTCTGGCCCCAGTTTTTCCATATCTCAGTAATCTTGGCGGTAATTGGCTGATTAGCTCCCTCACACTCCATCTCTGCCTCAGTTTCCATGGTAATGTTACAGGAGCTATTATAGATGAGAACTTCATCTCTTTCCACTTTAGGGCTGAAACGAGAAGGGAGGTTAAATGGGGTGTCATCAATCTTAATGAAATGCAATTATTTTTACTCTTATTAATCATTGCAAGCCATTAGCTTGTGGCAACTCCTGGCCACCATTTGTCAAACTTTGCAAATTTCTGTAATTTTGTTTCCATTCTTTTATTGTTTATTTGTTTTTTTTCCCCCCTTTATCTGCACACACTCGCAATAAAATACATGCAGTAAATATCTCTCAGTGATGCCTTGCTGCTTCCCCAAACTATTGCAAACAGTAGCAAATGCCATCTGAGGACCAAGGAAGATACGTGCAGACAACAGCGAGGGAATCAGCAGTGCTAGGATCAAAGATGGACTCCTACGTGGGGTAGGGTTTGTTCACATCTCCCCCTCCCCATCCTACTCACACTTAGCAATAGGGAATGAATAACTTGCAACTCCCCTAGGGCAAGTGGAGAAATTGGAAAAGCCACACAACTGGCTAACTGGTCCCTAATTCCAACTGTGAAAAAATGAGCTCATTTAGGGGTTCCAATTCCTGCTACCCAGCTGATTGCAATGATGCTTTGTTGCTAGCATTGGAACATTAACTTAGTAAATTAATTAAAGTTACTTAACAGCCCAGACTAAGCAGATTCGATATATGTGCCAGTTATACTAACAGACATTTGCTCTAAAGCCTCCCCTTGCACGGGGGAGAAAAGTAATAGAAAAGGTGGTGGGGAAGAGATATTTTTCCTGGGTCTCGCTGCTGACAGCTGCTGACTTTGGTAGCATTTTATTATGGGGAGCTGTAGGATCCACGATCCCTCAAAGTGAGGGGAAAGCTTCCCAATTTACTTCTACAGACTTTGGGATACTCTGGTGCCACTTGACATTCCTTCCCCTGGTTCCAGCCCTCAGCCCAGGCTGCCCCCAGCCCCATCCAGCCTGGCCTTGGGCACTGCCAGGGATGGGGCACCCACAGCTCCTCAGGGCAGCCTGCGCCAGGGCCTCAACACCCTTGTCACGAAGAGTTTTACTCAGCAAAACAAGGCATCAGATCTGTAGGACCAGGATTTTCAGAGGTCTTCATTGTCCCAAAAGCCTCATCTCACTGGGTTTTCTGGAGAGACAAATTTAGGAGCCTAACTTCCACCAAAATCAACCCATCTGGAAAGCCACCACCCAGAGCTTTCTCATGAGCCTGGTGATCAGGACAATTTTATGAACCTGAAGTTTTTAGACGAGGCTGGATGTGAGAGCTCACTGTGCAAACAAAGAGCTGCTCTGACAGTACCGTCGTGGGCTGTTTGTTTTGGTGGCCTTTGTCAGGGCAGTGGGAGGATGACTTGTTAAAGGAAGCAGCAACATCAGCAGGAAAAAAAAAAAAAAGAAAAAAAAAGAAAAAAAAAAAAGAAAAGCCTTCTGCAAGTAGCTGAACCTTTTTAACAGTGAATTTTTATTTCTATATTTAAATGAACCTTTCCCTCTGCTGTATCAATAATCAAAAGCCAGCCGTAGGGAACTACTCTCGCTTTTGATAGCGACACTTTGAGAACTGCTCTTGTCCTGTACAATAATTCAATGGACTGGGCTATCTTTCAAGACTGCAGAGTACTTCTTTTTCATGCTACAAGAAACAGCTGCATCTTTAAACAACCAACAGTTTTAAAAGGAGAAGGGGCTTGTTGTTGGCTCGATGCAGGGCCCAGCTCACTAGCCACTGATGTCAGTGGGAGGATCTCCAATCACTTCTTTTTACAAAAGGTTAACAAGTTTTGCTTGTAGGCAAAGAGCCAATTCCCCCCTGTTCTCGAGCAACGACTTCTGAAATCATGATGCCTGTATCAAATGGTAATGTTTAAAGGAAATGCAACAAAACAGGGGGGTTGGCAAAAGGGAATTCGGGGATGTATCCATGCACCAGCAACATGAATGGTAAGATTTGCGCCTTTCCTGAGGAATATACATTTGCCATTAGTTGTGAATAAAGTACAGGCTTTAGGAGAGACTACATTAGTAGAAGCTTTACTCAAACCATTCTAAAGCTAATAACTACACATAATATCTTTCTTGTTTGTTCTTAAGTCAGCAATGATTTCAATAGTTTTGTCCCCATCCTGGGATGAATGTCTAAACTGTTGAACATTTGTGCAAAACTCATACCCATATCCTTGTTATTGTTGTTCGTTATAATTATTACTTAGAGCAATCAATTGTTCCAGGAATTCCCCAAAGAGTTAATTTATAGTTTGATCATTCTAATTTTCACTTTGCTGAAAATTCCATTGCTACTTTGAAATCAAATCTATTCTGAAGTGAAATTTGAGAAAACAATTTCGAATGACCTGAGGTAGATCATTTGGATGTCTTCAAACTCTCTCTTCCTCTACTTTTCCCCAGATTTATCTGATTAGGAAACTCATCTAAAATACACCCATCTTCTCTGTTCCTGCTCTCTTTCAGTGAGACCCACATTCACCAGGAAAAAAATCATCAAGCCAATGGAAAATTCATTAGCAGCCCCAGTTTTAATTTCTAAATACTATATGAGTGCGAACATAATAGGGGGAAAAGTTATGACAAAAAAAAAAAAAAAAAAGTTGGAAAAATGCAGAAAAATAGGTTAAAAAAGTTGATTGATTGTTTTTCAATGTATTTCCTGCACCTGAAGGAGTGTTAAAACCTGTTTCTGGGACATGCACAACTAAATTCGGCAAAAAACAGTGAAGAATGATAAGGAAGCAGCCATCAAGTGGACTGCATGACTTTTCTCTCCATTGTCATGACATGACCAGCTTAGGTGCAAGACCTCCCACCCACTCACCCTGCTGGCACCAGCATAAAGCAGTTGCAGCAGCAGAACTGGAGCAACCCACACCAGGAAAAGGAGCAAGAAGGAAAAGCATCATAATAATCCACCCACTATAAATGCATCTTTATCTGTAAAGAGCTGAGCACAATTTTGATGTTCAGGGAGCAGAAAGCAATAACCAAAAGCAATATCCTGGGGCTGCCCCATCACTCTCGAGTTTGTGGGTTACCTGGTCTGCGGTTACACTGATGTTAGAGATAGCAAAGCAAAGCTCAGCAAGACAAGCCAAGGCTCCTGGGGTTTCTTGCTTTGAAACAAATCATTGTGGGAACAACAGACCTATTGAAATCAACTTAATTTCAGGCTGTTTTTCCACTCTAGCTCTCTGTTCCTGTCTCCCCCAATGAAACCATCCTCCCCATCTCCCAGGATGCTATCGGACATTATCGGTGCACAACAGGACATTGGACATGCCAGTTGGCCAGCTGTATTTTTCTACTGTTTGGCCCACTGGTTGCTGGCAAAAAGACAGGTTAGGACAGAATTATATCCTCCTCTTCCTCAATAGGAAACTAATTTATTTCCGCCTAGCACAGATTTTCTCTAAACCGACAAAAAAAAAAAATCAAATTTCTTAAGACATTCATCCCCTATGAAGCCCAGCTCAAGTTTATCAGAGCTCAAAAGCTAGTAAGGAAGAAATGACAGACTGACAGGCTGATGCCGTAGCTGAGTAAACCACCTTTATTTTTTATAAACAAGTTTAAAATGCCACTTCTGCTGTCCTTGCTCAGTAAACGCCAGTTTGCTTCATTCCCTCAATACAGGGCATCCAGAACTGCCTCTGAGGGCTCACTACTGTCCCGCTGGTGACAAAGTTAATGGTGGCATAAGGATCAGATAAGGATGGTCCCAAATCTCTACAACTTCACTGAAGTACCTGGACAGTACCAACGTGCACCCGTCAGGAATGCCTTCACCATCTAAACAAAGCATGGCTATCACTGCAATGATATTCAAACTCTCTATTTAAGAGCTCAAGTATCTTTGGGGCAGTGCTATTCATCTGTTTATTCCTTAATTCAAGCCTCCCTCTTCCTCCTTGAGGCTCTGTAGTTTTAAATCCCCACAGCTCTATTAAAGACATTGGTACCAATTTTCACACCCAGGCAGCTTGGCCTTGGATTTGCAGAACCCAAGTAACCGCTCGAGCACCCTTGTTGAGTAAAGGTTGCACGGTGTGCTGAATCTTCTCTGCAACTTTTTACTCATGAAGCTGCTTAGAGAGAGGAAGGGGAGGAGAGGGAAGAAAAAAAAAAAAGGCTTCTGCTTTTCATAATGCCTAATCTTTTTCCCCATTGGCATCCAGCAGATGTTGCTTTGGATCAGAAGATAAATATTAAAACCTAAGAAGGAACAAAGCAGGCTGTTTACGAGATGGATTTTCTGATGTCTCTCAAACACTTTAAAAAGGTGGGAGGGAAGGAGGGGGGTCTAGAGATGCTTTGATAGACACAAGAAGTGAATTTCACGACCCAGCGGAGCACTCTAGTGGTCTCAAAGTTAAATTGCTCTGCTGGAATCAAGAATTAGCAATCATCTCCTTCTTCAGCCCATCATTTGGCAGAGGAATGACTTCTAGGGGATATTGCTCATGGATGGGCTCACTCAGATGTTGGAGAGAAGCAGAGCTAACCTGGAAAAAAGTCCAGCCAAATGCCTCCGGGAAGAGTCGCTGTCCCTCTGGTGCCACTGAGGTCGGCTGTCCTCACACAGATACAGGTAGGACACGGATCCTTGCTGCTGGTAGGGACCCACGGTGACCTGGATGTCACATTCGATGAAGGTGGATCTGTCTTCTCGGCAGTCAGTGGAAGAATGTGTCAGGCCACAGAGAATGGCCAAGGATGCTGCAAGGACAGGAAGGGAAAAAATAACCCAAACAGCCTACAGAATACAGATGTTAAGCAGATTTTGGCTACTGGTGCCTGTCATTTGATGCTCATGTCCCAACCTCCCTTTTGGTACATCCTCTCTGAGGGTGAGTAGTGTTTCATGCAACTCCTTTGGCCCCTTTTGCCTTGTGTGGGCCAGCAAAACTTCCTTTGTGGGACAAGCATCCAGATGGTCTTTGGGATCAAATGACCCCACGTTTGGGAGGAGGTGATTAAATAAGCGTATGGGCATTCCAACTGGGGAAGATGGACCATGGTTTAGAGACCAGGTATAAGGCACATCAGATGTGACCACTTCTGAGATCTAGCGTGGTTCTGAAATCTAGAATTAGATTTAGTGAAAGCATTGCACAGCTTGGAGTGCTTCAAGGGGGCTTGGGTGAATGGGGAGACTGCTTTGCTCCAGACTGGCCTGAGACTTGGTCTGAGTTTGACTCAGAGTGGTAGGAGGTGTGATGGGAGCAGCTGCATGGTTTGAGATGTATTCAAGGAAAAAGAGATGTGAACAGAAATTAGGTTTTCTTAATCCAAATCCAGACAAAAAAATACATTTAAAAAATGTGAACTGCCACCGAAGATCAAATCAGTTGAAATTATTGATTTTATTAATTTATATTTTTTAAAGAATCATTTAAGCAAGCAGAGATCAAGACTGCTTCTCTCAAATCCTAGAGCTTGTGAAGACTTCAAGAATTTTTATTAATCCAGAACTAAACAAACAGTTGCAACAAACTCCTGAAAAGTTCTGTGTTGAAAGTATTACATCCTGCACCCAAGAGTGTTCATCAAGTACCAAAAGTGCAATACATAGGAGTTTATCAAGAAAGAATTTTCCTGATTTTCTTTTTTAAACTCTGATTCGTTCCAAAGGTTTTTTTTTGTTTGCTGGAAAAGTATCATTATCAATGAATATCTTAGCTCTTAAGTAATTCTGAAAATGGGTTTTGAAATGGAAGTAATGTGAAAATGCTCTATTTCCTATGTTAAAATATTTAAGATTTTTCTCAAAATGATTTAATATAAAGGTATTTTCGAAAAGTTTATGGTTTTTGATAGTTTAACATTAAGGTATTGTTGTTAAAAATGTTTTGCAAAATATTAAAACCTGCCATTTCATCTGTTCTGAAATTCAGAGACAGAATCCACATTTTCTCTGTATTTTTCTTCTCTGGATTCAGAATAAGAAAAAAGTTGCCAACATCTTCATATGTTTTGCAATATGCTAGATCTTTTTCCCTCCCAAATCCAGTGACAATTCTCTTGTTCAGCATTGATTCAAACACAACCAAGCATAGCCCCTGCTTCAAAGATCTACATAGAAACATGAGACACAAACAATAGACAGAGAAGCTTACCAAACTATGGTATGATGCCTATATTATTGCTTTTATTATCCAGAAATTATGTCTGGAGACGCCTGAGCTGTCCTACAGGTCCCACAGAAGTCTCACACCCAAGTTTGTTGGAAATGGCACTACATACCTGTGCTTTGGCAAGTGAGTATCAACCAAGAGGACTAAACACTACAATAAACTTACCTTTGCACCATTTTTACCTGTGCCAAAAAAAAATTCACTACAGGAATTTCTTCACAAGAAAGTTTTTTTTTGTTTGTTTGTTTTCTTCCAGCCAGGGTATATGCGGCTGAGATCTCAAAAGTACTGCAGAAAATCCAACCAGTGAGGATGCTACCCCTTCCCTTTCTCTACAAGACCACAAGTTTCCCGTGGACAGAAGGAGAATTTGGTATCATTCCATAATAGAGTATAACAGCTTCTTCTGCCTTACCAGTGACAGAAAAGGCTGCGATATATTCAGATGTGGTAACGGAGACAAGGTTTGATGTCTAATTATCTACAACAGTAATAAGGAAGATTACATTCACATTAAACACTTGAGGAAGAAAAAAGGAAAAAAAAATACAGGCTAGGGAGCTAATCAAAAGAGATTTTGCTTTTCTTCTTTTGTAGTCCTGAAAATAAACTGGCTGCATTTTCCTAAGTCACTAGTGGAAAAACAGCTGAACCCAATTTTAGCAAATTTGGGAAATTGGAAGTGACCCACAAAATCTCCCTATTTTCCTCAGTACTTTGCTGATGTCAAATGGTTAATGTACAGCACCAGAAGATATTTCCTGCATAGCCCTCAGAGCTCAGCAGAACAGCCTGTTGCCATTTGGATACCCTCAAAATGTTACACAGAAATCCTTGCTGAAGCACCCCAACACCCTCATCTCAGTGCTATCACGCCTGTAGGAATGCAGGGCCCTGCATCCTGCCAACTGCTGAAATTATTTTTAACTCAAACCAGGCAAATAAACTTACTTATTTAACAAATCTAAGCTAAAGAATGTGGCTAGAAAGGGTTTTAAAGAGTTTAAATGGAAGCAAAATCCAAGAAAATCCTGCTTAATCGTACACCTTATAAGCAAACCTCAAACCACTTTCTCCCTCTCAGGAGAGAGGGAGCTCATCTCCACACCCTACAGCTCTGTCCATCTGATGGGAACACACTTGGGGAGGTATCCATTTCTCAATCCTTGCTTGAGGTTCTGATATTCCCCCATTACCAGAGTATTTGATACTTTTCTCAGTTAGGAGGAAGTCTTGGCTTTTCATCCCATTCCTCTAACCATTAAATTCAAGTATCCCTTGGCTGTAAAATGCTGTCATTACCTCCTGCCACAACAGTGAAAATAAAAATAAAAAAAGGAATTAACTAAAGATTGCAACACACGTAGCACATTCTAAAAGTATATAGCATGCACATTCTGGGACACCTCTCCCTACTTAATTGGTTAGTGTTTGAACCTCAGAATGAAGCTTCTTTATGCTTTAACTACTCTATAAAGATAGAACCTGCTGATCACACGTTGTACAATCCCATCACTAAGATTAATGCATTCATCCCATCACGGCTTCTCTTTTGAGGTCAGACACAATGGCAGCCAAATCTCTGCATGTTGGTGACGGGTTAGGGACCCGCTGCCCTCAGCCCTCTCTTTGAGGGATGCTCTGGCTTAAGCCAGGAGCCTGGGATGTTCAGCACAAGGGCTTTGTTCTGGGTCACTGTTTAATAACAACTGCCGGACATGTGATGAGACTAAACCCTACAGGAGTTCCAAGGGCAGCTGCAGATTGATTGAACAACTGCCCAAAGAGTCTCGGTGCCAAACCACACAGCCCCAGTTATCCACTGCTCACAAAACGGACCGTAGAGCATAACATTAACTTGTGCTTAGCAGAGAAAACAAAGGGTAAAAAAATAAATAAATAATAACGGTAAAAATAAAAGGGAAGGGAGAGGAAAAAGAGAGACCTGTTAAGGTCAAGTCCAACCTTTCCCTATGAAGAATTGCTCCCTACGAGACATTCATTTTGCACAGCCGGGTCCCAAGAGGTGGCTTTGCAAGCATCTATTCCACTGCCTGATAGATCTCACTGTCAGAACATTCTTGCCATGTAATCAATATGCATTTTTTTTTCCTCTTTCTTAATTTCATTTCCAGATTTGAAGGGCAGAAGGGACCATTTGGACCCATCAGAGACCCTCACTACTACTCAGACTCCAATTGCCACCGCATGCCCTCTCCAGATCTCCTGCACTTACTCATACAAATCACCCCATTTCCCTGGTTATAGTCCCCTGTGGCCCTACCCCGGTGCATCGCCCTGGTACATTTGCACGGCTGCATCCAAAGCTCCTTCCTCTCACTCCTTTTGCTCCATGCAATGAGCTCCACCAAGCTATGTCTCTCATTTAAACCAGCCTCATTTCACTTCTAGATTTTAATCTGAATCATCTTCCCTAAATATCCACTTTTACCAACGTAACCTGGCCAAGAGCAGGCCAGGGATTAGCTAAAAGAGACCCCAAGAGCCGTTACATCAGAGCCCTAAAGCCTAGCATATTATTCCAAGCATCCTTACACAGCCAGGCAAAAAAAAATAAAATAAAAAATAATAATTACTATAAAGAAAAATCTGAGCACCACACTCAGATTTTTCACTGAGGCATCTTCCTATCAGTTCACTTCCTTTTAAAGACACTTCTACACCTTCACTCTAGGGTCCAACATGCAATCTCAAACACTGTTTTACTGCAAAATATATATATATGGTACTTACCCCAATATCACCTAATTGGAATATTCTGTTATTTTCTCACCTGCCTCAAGCTTCCTGCCAGTCTTCCCATCTTTCACAGGAGCACAATTCAATCCCACAGACATCTGCCATTTGTTCTGGAAATTTAACCTGAGATGAACAGCCCCCACACCTCTATCCACACTCCTCAAGAGCATTGCAACATGAGTAACAAAGGGAGAAACAGGGAAGAGAAGAGCTCTCAGGATCAAGTCAGTTATCTCTTTACCAGAATTTTAAAGACCGGTGGGTTGGTTTTGTGTTTTTTTGCTTTGTTTCTCATTGAAGGGACTCTGCTTTTGTCAATTTTGTTATCATTTTTTAAAACTTTTAACATCTTTAAAAAAAAAAAAAAAAACTTTACAAGTTTAAAATCAAGTTCCAATTTGATTTTTCTGTAGTTTGTAAAAGACAGCAGTTTCATAAAAGTGCCTGGACTGAAGTGGGAAAGAAGTCACATTCCCTACCTGCAGAGCTTTCTCCTATGGATTTGATCACACAAGCAAGCCAGACAGACTGGATGGGGATTCCCACATGAATATCTCATCTTAAAGAGGTCAAAGACAACGTGAGCTAGCACTGAGGTCCCAGGGCAGGGAGGATGTGCAAGCTGCAAGAGGCAAAGTGGCAAAGTCCCCCAGGCACGCGGCGGCAGGTAAAGAACGAGGTGAGGCTGGACTAACTGCACTTAACACCCTAAATGGTGGGGGATGCAATCCCCTAAATATTAGGGGGAACTCTGGAAAGCAGCACAGATGTCATATGTAGATGTGCAACCCATGTTCAAACCTCTCAGGGAGAGCAAAGAGCCTAGCAAACTTTTAGAGATTTAATCATCCTGTACACACACCAATGACATACACAAGAGAAGCGTTTTTGGCAACTCAGCTGATGAGATCTGCAAGGCTGCAAAATCTAGGGCAGGAGATAGAGGGGTTGTCTTGTAAGCGGACTAAAGCAGGGTGAGTGCATCCCTTTTGGTTAGGGGGGTTTTGCCCCCCTTGCACCTTCTCTTCCAAAAAACATAAAACAAGCAGGCAGCGATCGGCGTTCGCCTGCTGACATCTAGTGCCAATAAAAAACATTGCGGTCCTGCCTCCTACACATTTTCTCCAGACTCCCCCTGCTGCCTTACCCCCCAGTGAATTTTGAGCACAGTTATTAATGTTGTCACAGTTTGGATCAATTTGATTACATTTTATTCTGCTATTCTTTCTGCAATAACCAGAATGGCTTGTTTTATGATCTGCTTTTTTTGTTGTTGTTGTCGTCGGCACTACAGCATGTTGCCTTTGAAAAAATAATGATAGTTTTGTGGACTATGTTGAGATCCAAGAAAAAGAAAGAGAAAGAGGGAAAGAGAAGGAGAGGAGGAGAAAAAGCTGAGCCCTTTACAAATTCTCAGCATCTTCGTTTGAGTGCGGGGGTGGGGGGGGATTCTTTTCCTGGTATTCCTCATAGATAAAGCAGCAAACCATTCTAAATGACAAGAGCAACTTCAGAGTTTGAGAATAGCAGAGGCTGGAAGGAACCTCTGGTTGCCTCTTATCCTAACCCCTGATCAAAGCAAAGATAAACTTCATGTTGGATTGATTTCTCAGCAGCTAATCTAGTCGTGTTCTGACTGTCTGCAAGGATGGAGATTACCTTATCTTTGAGCAAAACCCTAGCTATGTACCCTGATGGAAACCCCCAAAACCACCATTCTTCCAGATCCCCCCAGGGAGGAGAGATCTCTGGTCACCTGGACGGCCACAAAATGGCAATGATTTCTGAAGGAGGTCTCTGGATGTTCTCCTGTCATCAGAGCTATGGAGGTGCTGAAGTGGTGTGCTACCAAGTGTTGCAATGCTGCAGCACCAAGGTAGTCCCTCTGTCTATAGGGTTTGGGGAATGACACATATCTCAGGGATTTAAACATCTTCAATACGGCCTCTTGCAAGACATCAGGAGCTTAATCCTGTGCTGCCAATAGGGAATGGAAGAAGTATGTCTTGTTCAAACATGTGCCCAATTGTAAGCATTTCCTCCAAAACTGGGGCAAGCTTTTCTTCGAGAGCTGGAGAACATGGCAGCATTCCCTGCAGTGCTGCCTCTCTCCAGATAAAGAGGATGCTCTGGCTGTGGGATGATCCCATCCTGCTCTCAATGAATTCAAATCCTTATTTCCAGCTTCCCAAAGGTATGAACTGGCCATAGCAAAGCATTCAATCACCCTTACAGATATTCACCCTTCCCCACCAAGCCCTTACCCTGCTGATGCTGTCCTGCCATGCAGAGAAAAAAAAAAAAAAAAAAAAAAAAAAAAAAACATTTAAGGTAGCTCAAGTCACTAAACCAGCCATGGGAGCCAAGAGGCACTTGGGTACCCAGCCCAAAGCTCCCATGCACATTTTATGTGAGATGGATTTCCCAAGGAATAGCTGCCACAGGGAACTGCTGTCACTTTGCACACCCCAAATATAGCCACAAAGCATGCGTGGCAGCTCTGGCCACAGGCACATGGTGGATTCAGTCCAAAGCCTATGGCCATTGATGCCAAAAAAACCCCTGGCAGTAATGGACTTTGGACTGAGCTCAAAAAGCAAAAGCAGAGGCTATTTTGGCCCCTCTCCTCTCTCCAGGGCTGCTTCTACTCTTTGTCTCCCTGGGACAGGACACATTACGGCCACTCCACCTTTCGGGTCAAGGTGGGGTTTTAGAGGATGTTTTTAATGCAACCCCAGGTTTTGTGTCTTAGCTGACCGTGTAAGCGTGGGGCAAGGCAGCTCAGGTCAGTCGTCGTTGCGTTGTCCAACATTTCACAAGGCGCACCGCAGATTGTCACCGAAGTCTGCCCCGGGTCAAAACCAGTCCCACGCAGGTGAACTGCTCCTCCAGCCAAGCCACCTTGGAAAGGGACAGAAAATGGGATTTAAGTCACAGCCCAACAGCCAGCTATCATTAGTGGTGGTTGTTTTTTGACTCATAATTTCTGCTTTTGTATGAAAAAATAATAATAACAATAATAAGCCATCATGTTGCACCCCTTGGAGGAGCTGTGACAGCTCCTCGTGACTTACCCCAGTTGTGATATGCGGCTGTCACCACCAGCTGAGAGGTGAACGTCAGGTTGGAGGAAGCCCAGCCCCTGGGGACATCCAGGCCCAGCACAGGGTACTCGCCAGCAGGGAGTGGAGGAGCTGAGCACTGCAAAGTGGAGCGAGCGATGGTGACACCACCACAAGCAGAGTTTCCAATAAATACATGGATGGTGTCCATCTCTGTGACTTGGGATACGTTCATCATTAAAAGGAGACCAGTTGAAACAAGTGAAAGGAAAGTTGGTGTAGACTCCTCGCTGTAGCTTATGCTTCCAATGCCATAGGAGGTGCCATCCACTGTTAGCCTCAGAGCCCTAGTGCCATTGCCCGGAGGCACCGTGCACTGGATAGCTACACAGGTGACGCTGAGAACGAGACATGGGAGATAATCAATGAAAACAGAAGTCCTGTTCTTTCCTCTCAGTGCTGAGCCTGCTAATGTGAGCAGGCCTCCACCGTTGGTGCTGAAGTTTTGAGGGTAAAACCGGTGCACCTGAGGTGTGATGGTAACACCAGCCGCCCTCCTGAAGCAAGCTTGCCCACTTCTCCTGTTGGATATGGAAATGTTATATTCCCCAGGGGCAAGGCAGTCAATCTGGCACTTGATGCTGGTCTCGTTCCAGAAGGTTACCTTGCAGACAGCTTGGTTATTCACGTGTACCATGGGGCTGTCACTTGGCCATGCCAGCCTCTGCCCTGTGATCGTCACGTAGGTGAATGTCCCATTGGTCTCCCAGGCCACCAGATCCACAAGAGGGGTTGACTGTTCATGAAGGTGGAGCGTACAGTCCCCCAGGCAGACACTGCTGATCCCATTGACAGTCACTGTGACATTAAGAGCCCAAGATGACTCAGCCAACTGATTGTAAGGCAAAAGCTGTGCCCCTGGAAGGACGATGCAATGAATGGCATCGTTATCAGAGCTCTGGATCTCACAGGAATAATTACCATCCAGGCTGACCTGTACCCTGTTCCTCCTGGATTTTAAAGCAACACCATCTATAGTAAGCAGCATCCCACCACAGACTGACCCTTGTGATGGGGATATGGAGGTTATCCGTGGAGTTACTGTGAGGGTCTGCAGCCTTGCTGCCACACAAGCATATCCGAGCTGTCTCTGGATAACCCGCACAGGGTAAGTCTCAGGTTCCAGGTTGTCCAGTGGTAAAGAGCACTCATAAAACAATGCAGACTCATTGCCATGCTGAAACTCAAGCTCACATTCGTTGTCTCCAAGCTTGGCCATGGATCCAGTGATGTTTATCCCCTGGATGCTCAAGAGCAGGCTGATCGCTGTGATTTCTGTTTCAACACTGGTAATCACAGGTGTCAGAGCTCTTTGGTAAAGAAAGGTGGTGATGTTTTTTGCAACAGAAACATGCTGAAGTGAGCTACTGCTAATGAGTACATTCACTCTGACAGAGGTGTCTTGAGAATCTTCATTAAGCAAATCAGCAGCTGGTGGGGTCAGGCACCAAATGGTCTCCTCTTCCAAGCGGGTAACCAGGCAGGTTTGCCTGTTCATTGAAACGGAAATCAGGGACAGATTTCGGCTAAAGCCAACCCCAGAGATCGTGAGCAGTGTTCCACCTTGGGAGAAAAACACACCGCAAGACAGAAGGACATTACGCATAGGAAAGGAATTAATAGTTAAAATTCACAAACCACGATAAAGCTGATAAGCATAACAGTTTATCCAAGCTGAATGGAAGAAAGAATTAAGTCATTTTTTTGGAATAAGACAGTCACTGACAATAGCAGTCAAGTATCAGCATAATCCTACGTAGACAAGAGGCTGATGTTCTAAGATAGCCAGAGACTATCATGGCAGCAAAAAAATCACAGACTGAAAGGAAGCAGTTGTGATAGAATCCCTGAGACTGAACCGAGACTCAGCTCTTCAGAGAACAAGATTTAGGGAGGCAGGTGTGTGGATGGTAAAGATAGCTTGGTCCTTTTGCATACAGGGAAACAAGATGTGGTTGTTTTTTTTATTAAAAACAAACAAAATCAAACAGACCAGACCCACAGAGCTTCCTTCAATCTTCAGTTCCTCCTGGTGCCTCAAGCAGAGGACCAGGTTCCATACGTGCCATGCACAGACAGCCACTTGCCCTTGAGGAAGTGGCCAGAGAAGTTGACACAATAATGAGCACTTCCAGCTTCAAGACCTCTCCTACCTACATGCTCCCACTCAGCACCATTTAAGATGGGGAGAACAGGTAGGGGAAGAGAAGAGCAGGTCCCCCACCACGGGAGGTGACCAAAGGTTCCCATGCATGGAAGGCAGGTTGTCTGCTTTCCCCTGGGGTTGCCCGCATTTTTTGTTCTTCCCTGGGCCTTCATTTATGACCATGGAAGACGACAACAAATGTGCAAGTAGACTCTTGGTGTGAGCCATTCATAGGAAAAAATAATTGAGGAGATACATACATATCATACAATAAACATTAATACAATACATAGGGTTGTGATATCCAGCTGAGGCTGTCCTTGTGTCTAGTGTTGGAAGTTTTCTGTAATTACCATCATATGCAGCTCCAGTCGTATCATCTTCCTAAAACATCCTACATTTGGGAGACTGGTTATCTTTGCTCTGATCCTAGGATGTGGCAATGGAGTCTCCCTCTCCATAGTCAAAGGAGAAAGAGCTTTGAGGGGCTGTGCCACCCACCTGGTGGCCAAGAGTAGGTACAAATTATCTGGGATAAGCATGAATCCTGATGGCTGGATTTACATGACTGTGCAAAGCAGCACTGTCACTCTGTCTCCTGTGTGCTGAGAATATGAACTGCACTGAACAGCAGCAGTCTGGATTTTAGAAAGTGGTAATGTAAAAATTGCAAATCCCTCAGCATTCCCAATTCCATGCTCCCAAGCCTATAGCTGCCTCACTTAAAGCCAGCTGAAGCATCTTTCCATCTTCCTTTAGTTTGCCTCCCAGTGCCCTGCCTTGCTTAACCCTCTTTGTACATTAAGCTCATGCCCTTCCTTTTCCCATGGCCTAGCTGAAAAATAACTTATTTTATAATGGGGTTCAGTTTCTCTGAGCTCAAATCCAGAATTTAGATGGCCACACAGATTGCACAGACAACCAGTGATAAGAAAAAAGGGGTGAGGGAAGGTGCTTTTTGTATCAATGAGATCCTAAATTGGTTTAAGCCCTTCACAAAACTACAGCCAAGAGTTAATCAGTTATTTAACTTCCAATTCACCCCTTAAGATAAAAGAAGGGTGCAATATTTTTTTTCTTAATGTGGATAATTCTTCAGAAGTGATAACCTTTGCTCTCTAAGCTCTCATCTTTAAAGGCTTGAGCACGTCACAAACTATTGAACTAATCATGTACCACAAGGCCTGAGTTTTATATTTTTGGGTGAGTTGTGAGGCTGGGAAAGGAATGTCTGGAGAACCTGCAGTTACATCACAGGAATTTGTTTTCAAAGGGATCATGTAATATTCACTAAATGGATTCAACCCCACGCCCCCAACCACACGACAAAATAAACCACCTCAAATCTGTGTTTTAAGAGTTAAAGTGAAATTTGTTTTTTAATTCAGTGATACTTTGCTCTGAAACACAGCTGAATGATTTCCCATGTTTAAAAGTTTGGAATGTGATTACTAAGTATTTAAGTTTTGATTAAAATTAACACTGAAGGTTTGTTTGTGTATGTTTTTGTTTGTTGTTGTTGTGGGGTTTTTGTTTGTCTTTTTGAGATAACAAAATTCAATGCTCTAACTGGGATCAATTGAAAAAAGAGTTTGCTTGAAACCACAATTCTACCCTGCCTACCATTTCATTTCCACACAGAAAGCCGTGAAATTTGGAGGCGTAATGACTGAAAGATACAGCATGGATGAGTCAGGTGTGGGAGTGCTTTCTATCCCCAAAGGGAACATGCCAAGATACATGAGCGTAGACTTGGGGAAATCACATTCAAAGCACAAGTTCCCCTGAGCCAGCCGACCAGATTGAGGGATGCTCACTACGATCCCACGTTTCCAGGCTGCTTCTGTCTGCCAGTTGGTGTCTGCATAATAAAGAGTCACAGATTTAAAACACCTTCACTTAAACTGATGTGAAATGGGATGCCCTTCCCAGTCCTGCAGGGAAATTGTGCCCTTGATCCCTTTGACCTCCATAAGTGGCTGCAGATGTACCGCCGCTGCTTACCCAGAAAGGAGCCACAGCACGGCTCGATGCTGAAGATCTCCGAGACATAGTGGATTAACAGCTCTGCCCTGCAAAACAAGCAACACAGAAGGTTTGGGTTTGTTTGGTTTTTGGGGAATTGTTTGTTTCTATTTTCCTCTCCTATTGCAATGCTGTTCTTTCCTCCTCAAAATTGGAGGGCCAAATGCCCACCCTTTGCTCTATTTCCCAAGGAACCAGAGCAACAAGACCACCCAGTTTTCCAGGAGATTTGAGCTATGTCTGTCAGGAACCTTGTCTATTGGCAGCCTGTGGGCCAAGTGCAGTCCGTGCAGCACAAATGAATTGCCTAAATGAAGAAACAAGAACGAGGGGGTTCTGCTAAACACATCCCAGTGTAGCCATGCCAACAGACAGGAGATCCCAGCTGCCTCCCCTCCTTTATTCCTACCATGGGAACTAAGTAGTGGAGATAACTGCAGCAAAAGGAAAATCAGGCATAACCTCCCAAAGCCCACTTGGACAGGCGTGTAGCTCTGCTTCTGTCCCACTTGCATCTATTTATCCTCCTCATCACCCTCCTTTCAAAAACAATCCCTGCCCTAAAAAGACATGGTACAGCAGCACACCTTCCCAAGCCTACAATCCATCCCACCAGAGATCAGAGTTGCCTTCTGAGACAATCCATCTCCCTCCACTCTCTGTTCCTGGAGACAAAGTGATGGTGCTGCTAACAGACTCCAATATCAGATGGGATGAAGCCCCGTGCATCATCCCTCTGACCACAGGCTTCCTACTTCTGAAGTCCATTGGTGCAACAAGCAGCTTAGGGTGGTTTTTGAGCAACATGTGCAGCCCCTTCCTCCTAATACCATTGTTTCAAGATCATTCCTAGCAATTGTCACAGATAAAAGCTGTGTAGCTGAGGAACAAAACTGTGCTGCTTGAGAATGCATTGCTGCTCTCACTTCCAGGTGGGTTTTCCCCTGCATTTCAATTCATTTGTATAGCATTTATCTAGGAAAAAACTCAGTGTCACCTTAAAATACAGGAATAGAATCATTTTAAAACTCTCCAAACAAAGCATTTTTTTCCAAACTAGCTTGTTTATTCTCATGAAAAAAGTGTTTCTTTTCTTCTGCTGTTTTCCTACAGCAGGATGTATCTGCATTTGACCTGAATTTGTGAATACCTTTGATTGCCTGAATATGCATTTTTCATCAAATCAGCTGTTTTTTTCTAAAATGTTTCTCTCCTGCCTCCTACTGATCTAAAGGGAGTTAATTGACTGGCATTAGCAGTTTGCTGACTTGAGTTCCACAGATCAATAAGTGCCTTGATAATTATTCATAATTTTATACCATACAGCAGATTTCACTGTTAGGCACAGGATTTGTGAGAACTCTTACCTTTATTTTCAGATTAACCCTAAAATACCAAATAGGATGGAGAAAGAAATTTATATCTTAAGTGAAGTGCACACTTTCACACTACCTGTTTGATGTGACAGCAACACCGTTGATGATGACAGAAACATTGTACCATCCTGCAGCCAAGGCTGGAAGGGTCACGTTAACACCATGGTCTGTCTGTGCTTGAATCTGTGCCCAGGAGTGCCCAATTTGGACCTTAACATCTGCCCCTCGGAAGCTGGTAAATGAGGATATTCCAATCTGAAGCTCCTGACCCCCTAGAGAAGAGAATTGATGAAAACATTTCAGTGTTTCTGGCAAGTTATTTTAGCACGTGTAAGCATCGCCTGAGGGTGAGTGTGGAGTCTCATCCTAGATCAGGTCCAGTCTTGTCCATCAGCCAAAACTAAAATCTAGGAAACTGCAGTGTTTCTGTGTCCTATTCATCCCTTGGCTTCCCTGATAAGATCATTACCCACCAAGGTTGTCTTGAGACATTAGTACTGTGAACTTGGCTATGCTCATCTAGAGCTACTTCTAGATAAGCTCAGTCTTCTAATAGATATTTAGGGTAAGATCTGTATGCCCTTAACATAAATGTCTATCCTAAATATCCACAGCTACTTAAGAGTCAAATCCAGACTTTCTAAAGCTCATGAACTGGAGCTGAGTGAGGGATTTCTCCTAAATCCCTGACAATGATCCACACCACACTTTCCAGCGCTAACTTCGGAGGTATTTAAACTTTAAAGGAGCCTCCCACAGCTAAATGAAAACTAAATGAAAATTTCCTTGAGTGCCTGAAGTCAGATGCTCATGAATACTCCAAAGCACCTTGTTTTCAGGAAACGGGTCACTCTCTCCTATTTAAGCTCAGTTGTGAGCTAAATTACATTCAGATGGGAGAGGGTACTTTCCCTTACTTGTGTATTCTGTAGTAATAGAAAAAGACAAGAAATGTAGGGAAGGGAATTTCATGACTTAAATTCCTCCTGAAATAGCTTAAAAATGTAGGCTGGTATGCTTCAGTGCAAATAAAGGCTCTGAGATAGCTATCTGCATTCAAGGAGGAGAAACAGAGCCTTTATGGCATGATTCATCTTATTCTGAGGAAGATACCCAAGATAGCTCTGCTGAATCCCACCACAAAAGTGCTAATTTCTCTTTGCAGACTACATAACAAACACAGGCAGAGACGTGTTCAGGAGGTAAATCTCATCCCACAGTCAGCTCCGAAGGATGTGGGTTCTGCTGCTCAGCAGCAGAAACACACAGGACCAAGAGTCTTCCACTACAATTCCCTACTGTCAGACAACTACACTACATAAATCCCTTTCCTAAATTTATCAGACAAAAGGTGTTAACAGCCCTTTACCATATACAGATTCTGCCCAGCCTGACACACCTGTTTACCCACAGCATTGATCCAGAATAATTACTGAGGACCAGCTGAGCCAGAACAGCTCCATTTCTGTGCACTCCTCTTCCACACTTCATCACAGAATCCTCTAGGTTGGAAGAGACCTCAAGATCATCGAATCCAACCTCTGACCTAACACTAACCAGTCCTCCACTAAACCATATCCCTAAACTCTACATCTAAACATCTTTTAAAGACCTCCAGGGATGGTGACTCCACCACCTCCCTGGGCAGCCCGTTCCAGTGCCTAACAACCCTTTCGGTAAAGAAGTTCTTCCTAACATCTAACCTAAAACTCCCCTGGCGCAGCTTTAGCCCATTCCCCCTCGTCCTGTCACCAGGCACATGGGAGAACAGACCAACCCCCACCTCGCTACAGCCTCCTTTAAGGTACCTGTAGAGAGCAATAAGGTCACCCCTGAGCCTCCTCTTCTCCAGGCTGAACAAGCCCAGCTCCCTCAGCTGCTCCTCATAAGACTTGCTCTCCAGACCCATCAACAACTTCGTCACCCTTCTCTGGACTCACTCAAGCACCTCGATGTCCTTCTTGTAGCGAGGGGCCCAAAACTGAACACAGTATTCAAGGTGTGGCCTTACCAGAGTGAAGTACAGGGGGACAATCACTTCCCTAGCCCTGCTGGCCACACTGTTTCTTGTGCAAGCCAGGATGCTGTTGGCCTTCTTGGCCACCTGAGCACACTGCTGGCTCATATTCAGCCAACTATCAACCAGTACTCCCAGCTCCTTCTTTACCAGGCAGCTTTCCAACCACTCATCTCCCAGCCTGTAGCAGTGCTTGGGGTAAAATATTTTTTGTTTCCCGTAGAAATAAAATAAAAAAAGAGAAGGTCATATACGTGGTGGACACAAAAACAGCAAAGCTCCTTGCAGAGGACTCAAGCACAGAGCCAGAAAAAAAAAAAAAATCAGGTCCACAAATGCCAATAGGATATGAATGCACAGCAGCCCCAGCAGGGGTAAACACAGACTTATCCTTCACAGATAAAAAAGATGACCCTGCTCAGTCTCTTGGTAATACCACACCTATGTGGTCAAGCCCCTTGTGGCATGTACTGAAGCTCTTTGTGAATTCTCTGGAGAGTTACACAGATGGCTTGATATACCTAGGGATTAAAACATAATCCAAAACCAGAGGTGTACCCCACCACATCCCAAAAACAAGTTAGCCAGCAACCTCTCTAAATAGTCTTCTATTAAAGGAATTCTAAGCACTTAAAATCTAGAAGGCTATAAAGTCTAAAGACTTTACAACCAGCAAAACAACACAAAAAAGCTCAAGAAATATGAGAAACTGTCCCTAGCCCTGAAAAGCACTACACCTTACGTGCCTACTAATACTGTTATCAGATACTCACTGTCACTGGGAACTTGGGCGATGCCTTTCCCCTAAACCCTGCTCCATCGCTTTAACACCAAGGGCATAACTTTGATAATATTTGACATACAGGTAAATGCATAAGGTCACATTCACAGTAAGCCTCATAATTCTGCAAAAATCATAAGAGACCTAGAACCACAAAGCAAACACACAAAGTAGCATCATCTTCCTATCCATAAGCATGCTCTAAAAGTTACTCACCTGAAGAAGAGGTGCATGCATTAAAGGCACCTACTTACTATATAGCTTGCTTTACTCTAAAAAATCCTACTAGTTGTTACCTCAAAAAGATGTGCTTACCTCTCTCAACTTCAAAACACATCAGCCTATGCACTCTGACCCACCTAAAGAAGCATGCACCTGGCTGAAGGAAAAATAAAGCACTTACCCCAAAGAGCAGCTCAGGGGGAAAGAGCTCTCTGGTGGGCCACAGCTGGCCCACCTGGCACTCAACCTATCACCTGGGAAAGGGGTTGGACAAAGAAAAAAATGTAGAAATCAAGCAGAACAAGCAGCAGCTGTGTTGTTTTTGTTTATCTGGCTTAGCTTGACAGCATATAAAGCACAGCACAGAGAACTGGGCTGTTTTTAGAAGCAACAATTCCTGTGCTTTTGCTTCATCCTTGAATATTGAAAGAATAATCCAAGTAAGTAACTGAAACTATTTCAACTGGAATTAGCTCAAACCTTTCTTCACACTTTCTTTACACTCATGGTGGATGAAGACATCTCTATATCAATTCTTTTAGACTTATAGCTGTTTTATGCTCTCACCTTGTCCTAAACAGAGTGAGTTTTTATGAGTTAACTCATCCTTAACAGAGGCTCATATCCAAGTAGCAATTTTGTCCACCAAGCAGAGGCCAGGGTCATTTGGGTCTAACACAGCCCCCAAAGCTGGTACGAGCCCTGCAGCCTCCAAGAAACTCCACAAAGCAGGAGAGTCTCTACAAAGCTCCCCTCATCTCCCAGATCCTCTAAGCAGACCTGGAAACCAACAGATTTCAATTCAGCATGCACAGAGTCAAATAAAAGTTTGAAAGCCGGTGAAGCTGAATATATTAATAACATGAACTCTTTGGACTCTTGGTCAATTGTCAGCTTAATCCTAGATGCCTGGAAGGCATTGGTGTAATTTATTTATTCTTTTTATTACATAGGAGGAAAAAACTATATTAAAAGCTGAAGCCACGGAGGTTCTGAATAGATGATTGAACTCAGCCCCACCACCGTTCAGGAGACACTATAACATAGAGGAATTTCTTGCACCTTGGCTGCCTGCAGCTAGGAAAATCTCCCCTTGGTGCTATCATACCTGAATAATATTCAAATGGTAAAGGACGTTTTCTCTTATTTATGCATTCTGGAGTAATAGGAAATGACAAGGGCACTGGGGAAAGAAATGGAAATAGTAGGTGTGCGGCAAGAAGCCCACTTTATCACCAGCACAGTCATCTCATCCCTCACATCCCCACTAAGTCTGGCCATATCACTGAGCTGGGGGGAGCTTTGTTAAGATGTGTACTGGAGAGGTTGGAAAAAGAGAGAAAAAAATGAGTGTATCCTTGGAAAAAGGGGAATAGGATACATAGAAATCACAATCCTAAATAAAGCTATTCAAAAGACAGAAGTAATAAGTACTCCATGGTGTCTACTCAGAATTTTGCCCCTGCAAAGCCTGTGAAGTCTATGTTCATATTCAAAAGTAATGGTTCAACAGGTAAAAAAGAAGGAAACTGGCTTGGAAACAGTAACTACCAAAATGAGTACTGCCTCTCTTTTGCTTTCAGCAATCCAAAATGCATGTCACCCTCTGACTACAACCCACCCTTTGGGACCCTGGAGAAGTGCATTCTCCAAAGTTCATTTCTCCTGCCACTGAACCTTCTACCAAGAATGAGTGTGTGGGATTGTTTCAGAGCAAAGTTAGAGAAGCATAAACTCTAAAGGAACAACATACTGTACTTGAAACTCTGAAGACATGATTCATACTGGGCTAAGGCAAGCAACTCATTTTCTTATGTAAGATAGAGAAAAAAAAAGAAAAAAAAGAAATCAGGTGTGATCAGAACCTGCAGGGGGCACAAGGACTACAAGATAAAAGAAAACAACAAAAAAACAGCATAACATCACCAAACCCCATGGACCTCAATTCCTTCTGTCCCGCCACCGTCAGCAATAACAGCAGTTCTACAGATGATGTCCCATACACGTCCGCTTGCACATAAGCACTTTTCACCTGCTATGCCACTTCGGTTCCTGCTCAGTGATACAACAGTCGGGTTTAAGGAAGGGTCATACTGGAACAAGTTGGTGACTGTTGTTGATTGGTACCCAGAAACTAGCGTCACATGGACAGCAGTATCTTCTGCCCCCTGGAAACAGAAGCAAGGAAAACATCAAGGATAAAAGCTCACCAATACAAGAAAAATAGTTATTTCTTATATTCATGTATTCAGACATCTCCTACATTTAATAAGTCAGGCACATGGCACTGCCAAATTTGCATATACATTAGACTCAAATGTGTGTGTTTTTGTCTCTAAAGGCACGTCTATGGAGAATTATAAATCTCAAAACAATCACAGACCACGCAGATTTTTATTTGCTCTCTCTGCAATAGCTGAAGTCATAGGCATTGACTGTTATATCTCTACACTTAAATGGTTACATGTAATTTTGCCCTGCATCAATGAGCACTGCTGCTAAAAATCCTTAGGCATGTTTTTGCATGACACACATATAAAGTCCAGAGGAAGTCCAGATATAAACAGGACAACTTGGGGCTGTAGAGTGTTCAGCAATATGAGTAAGTGCAATTCTCCCAGGCATGTTTAATCTGCTAGCAGACACTGAGCTGAAAGGGGCAGCATGCAGTTTTCCTGGAGTTAAAAGCCCCATTTGTGTTTGCATGAGGTTTAGCTAGAGATCATGCAATCTGTTGGTTTTGTCAACTTAAACTGATTTTCAAAAATCTAACCATCTATTGTTGATTATGCTGGTCTAAACTGGAGTTTAGACTGTAGGTGGAGTCCAGGTTAAACTATCCCATAGCCTAAACTTGGCTGATAGACTACCATTTGCCCTTTCACAAGTGTAGCTCAGGCCAGGACAACATAGAAAGGCCTGTAAGCTCTCCCCATACAGCTGTCTGTAGCCAAAAATATGTGGTATCTTACCCGAGAGGGAACTTTACATTCAATTCTCGTTGAATTTCTGGCATTGTCCAAAATTGGGCAAGGCTGAGATCCAAACAACACCAGGTTTACCCCTTCCAGACCAGTCCCCCTGAGAGCCACTCTCAGTCCTCCTACAAAAACAATTATTCTGTTACTTCAAAGATGTGGAATGGCCTTTCTGTCATGCAAAAGATTCTTTATTAATAGCAGACTACAAAAGCAAGTCATGTCTACTGCCTGATCTGATGATGATCCGCTTCCACTTTGCTATGCCCTGGCTTCCTCTTTCACCCGAGATCCTTCTTGTTTTCAAATCCAATTTGAATTCTTGTCCATGATACCAGTGGACTGGGTTTGTTTCTCAGTTTATTTTTTAATGACATACTTATTTAAGCCAGCAAGGTCTGGTCTGTGATCTCCCCCTTAGAAAGATCCCCAGCTCAAGAATGAAATAAGGAAGGAAGGAAGAAACACTAAGAATGAAAAATGAGCTTAACACAGCAGGTGCTTTCACAGTTCAAATAGCTGCCAAGCACCCCGCTGTCAAAAAAGCCTGTAGCATGTGTCTAGGAAACTTAGGTTAGACAGGGGACTTGGCAGGGCTTGAGTCTTAGCAGAGTTGTGAGCAAAGTCAGGGGGCTCAATTCTGTGAAGGGCTGAGCAACCTCGGTTCTCATTTGTGTCAGCCAGCGCTAAGCATCCTCAGTCACATGCAAGATCACACCCAGCACAAGTTAGGCTTGCACTTGGCCTTTCTGCAGTGGCCAATTCCAGCAAATAGCCAAGGCGGCCCCTCTGCTTTTTCAAGCGAGCAGAACATTTCAAAGAGGAATAGAAAAGAGAAAAGTAACAGACATTAATGGAAATTCTAACCTGGACTTAGTCCTTTGATGTGGTTCAGAAGAAAAAAAATAAAATTAAAAAGTAAGAAAAATTCCTTAAAACTTACAGCTGTTTGCTCTAGGTAGAGTGCCAAGGACATTCTCGCTTCGGTAAGGCAGAGTTTTAGCACTAAGGCAGGACAGACAGGCTGCTCAGACAGGGATTTCATTATCGCAGTCACTCAATGTGCATGTGTTATCAGGGCCACATTATAACTACTGAGCTTTTATGATGCTTTTCATGTATGAGATAAATAAACTTCTATAGGAAAGACTATAATATTAGTGGCAGATTTCTTGGTATGTTTTCCTCAAAACATCATTTCCTCCTAATTCTGAGAACTACCGGAGAAGTCTAGAAGTATCATCCAGAATTCCTCTAACTGGCAGCAAAAGTGGGTAAACAGCAACCAGGTATGGTAACAGAAAGCTCATTCTGTTCTTGGGAGCACAGTAGTATCTTTGGAAAGTCATCCCACACTTACAGAAAGTTAGGTCATGGTGAACTCCCAGCATGGCACCTCTGAGACCAGTGATATTTTGACATGAATGACCTGATGCAGCAAAGAACAAGCTGCTTCTTGTCTCCTGCCCTGTACCATTAAGTTCGCATGACCAGAAACAAGGAAGAACTCAAAACTGAATCCACTTGGCTTATGTGATAGCTGTCAGATAAGGAGCCTCAGATTTAGAGTTCAAAATTCATGCATGTTGTGTAAAGACTAATGCTCTTAAGTTTTGATATCTACACATATCCATATGCAATGAAATACTACATATGTGCACTTTACGATAAGATTGAAGAGAGGTATTTTAAATGGAAGAAATTAAAAACACAGATGGAAGCTGTAATTCTTTCCAATTATAAATGTTCAAGGCATATGTAATGTAAGATAGCATTATACTTGCTTTCTTTTTAATGAGTGACAGATCACTGTAATTGGGAGAAGAGCTGGATTGTCAGGGAACAAAATGAGAAGCAAGACCCAAGCACTAAAACTTGTCATTGTTTTTTTCCCATTTTTTTTTCTTCATATGAATTAGAATGAGTCTCAACCTTATGCAGCATATAACTTTCATTAGGGAAAAAAACAGGAAAGAAAAGAACTAGGATAGTTTTCTTTCTATGCACCACAACAGGAATAGAGGACATCTTGATTTTCAGTTTAGGAATTCATACATTCTTCCAAGTCCACCCCAAGGCTCATCCACACAGGTTCACAGATCATAGTTCCCTCCTTCCAACCACTCCAAGAAGGCCATCTAACCATCTAAACACAGATGAGTTTTCCATTTTATCACTCAGAATAGAATAGAATCACCTCAATGGGACTGAGATTAACCAAAGTTTAGCCATTTCACAATTAGGCAAGATGAATCCAAATACTACCAATCCATGTGTCAAATGGACATAGGAAGACAAGCCACAAAACACCTTCCGAATTGCTGGAATGAATATACCTGCATTTAATTTTACTATTTATAAATGAAACTACTAAGAGAGGAGTTGGTTGCCCCCACAGAGAACCAAAGACTGACAGTCTTTACATTAAAAAATAATAATAATAAAAAAATAAAATAAAAAAAATAATCTTGCCTCAGTATTTTGTGGTACACAAAATATCCCCAGCTATGCTATTTATGTCAGATTAAGACCTTGGTTATGGAAGCAGGAAAACCAAAGCTATTAAAAGGCAAGACACAGAAAGCAGACATCCAATAGAGCCTTTCTGGAGTTCAGACCTACCAATCTCCGAAGCTCTAGGAGGCTCAATAGCTACCAGCTTGGGCTCAACTCTCAGGAAGATGCCTTCTCCTGTGCTGGCATTGAGTGCGAAGCCGTAAGGTCTCACTAGCAATGTCAAAAGGTAGACTCCAACTGGCAGCCTCTCCATATTGCAGACAACTTCAGTTTGATTCAAAGTTATGATGTGGCAGGTTGTGTTGTTCACCTCTACCTGCAGGGTAGTGTTCTGCTCAGTGAAACCAACACCCCTGATAACTACTGTGGCCTGAGATCCATCATCTGAAGGAATATAATCAAAAAAATGACTCATGAATTTTTGAGTAACAACGCACAGGATTTACTTTTAACCAACAGTTAAGAGTTTTTAGCATCCTCATCAGCACATTCTGGAAACTAGAACACTGATGATCTTCTCATTGACCCTCATAATGCCTATTTCTCTTTGTTCCTGCCCAGCTACTACCTTTTTCTTAACTTTAATTAAAAATAATTTGAACCAAGCCACCTTTTGCTCTGTTAAGCACCAAGCCTACCACTATTTCTCTCTAATTTGTGCCTCTACCATCCTCTTGCCTGTGCAAAACCGTATTTGCACTACATGCTCTAAGACCCAAACTGATCTTTACTTTATAAAATGTAGTTTCCCTAAAATCAGAAGTTTTTAAAAGAACACACAAAGTCATCAACAATCAACAGACCTTTTTCACAGAGACATGTTTCTCCCAATTTGTGCAGACACAAAACCCCTTTACCTGATGAATACTCCACATCACTGACTAAGGGTGTCATTTCCTGGCTGAACTGGAAAGAGCACAAACCTGAACAGTTTGCAGGGACATCATTCACCACCACCACCACCTGGAGATAGAGAGAAAAGTTACCCCTAAAGCAGTGAAGGAGGTGTTTTTCAAAGCCACATCTACCTGGCAGACAGCCCAGCATTGCTTCAGCTACAGAAAACAGCCTGACTGCACCAGCACACATCATCATCAGACAGCAATTTATCCTGCTGAAGTCTCATTACAGATTTCATTACAAAGCTTGCTAGGACTCATTTAGACAAAGCAGAGCACAGTGTTAGAAGCTGTATCCCCAACTTTTCTCAGTGTCTGCAGGATCTTATCTCCCATCTCTCTACGTCCCACAACTCTTCCCCACTCCTCTTCTTCTAGTTGCCCATTGAAGATCCTACTTTCCATACGCCATTTATTTCCACCCCACCTTGGAAAGAAGTTTATTATGTTTTAAAGCACCTTGCAAGACGGATTATAACTTTTCCCAGATTGCATCTATTCAGCATGTAGCCCTCAATTTTTAATTCCTCATTGTTCATGCTAAAACACGACAGCTGGACCATGACCTTGATCTCTGACATCAACTCCCTTCTCAGAAGACTAAACTGGCAAAGCATAAGGCAAAAGAGAGCCCTACTTTTCCTTCTCACAGAAGTTGTCCTGGTGTTGCCAGGACCAGGACATCCTGACACCCATGACACAAGTGCTTACAAATAAAAACATGCTGTCTCCAGGAGGGGAAAAAAAAAAAAAAAAGAAAAAAAAAAAGGCAGGATGACCTAGCCCCAGCTGCTGCTGAAGCCCTACAGCTGGGCTTTGAGCACTTGAGCACATCCAGCATTGCACTGTTATCAGTACAGCACCCCGCAGACTTTGCTGGAGGCAAATTCAGCAGGGCATGCTGGTCTGCAACACTTGTCTGTCCAGCAAACTTGTTCAGCCAGGAAGCCTTCCTTGTTTCTTTCACACATGAAGAATTGATATCTACAAAGACCAACTGACCTGGCCAGCCTGAAAACTGGTACCACATTTTACAGATCTGACTGGTTTATGGCAAAGCACAGAACAGATTTCTGAAAGCATTTAGCAGCAGAAGTGGGCCCCTGAACACCAGTTAGACTCCTGGATCTACAGGACTTGCGTGAATCAGTAGTAAGTATGACAGCACATTAACTCACCTGTGTTTGGTTATTGAAAGTAGCAAGCATGTCCCCAAAAATTGGCCCAATAAACACACCCCCATCATAAATCACACGACTAGAAATAGTTGGCTTCAGACCAGTGAGGTTTTCAGCAGAGACCTGGCAAAGAAAAAGAATTAGTTTATCACTACCCTATCCTGTGATTTGAGTTTAAAACCATTCCCCCAAAGTTTGTACAGAGTCATTACAAGGTGGTAAATAACTCCTGGAAACCTCTTCTCAAGCTTGACTCTTATCTCCAGGTTTGAGTTTTCATTACTCAAGTCCTCACAACACCTCTCTGTTCCCATTCCCACCTTGCAAGCTAGAAACTGAAGGTAAAGAGAAGCAGGAGCCAGATTTGCAAATAAATTTCTAATAGTCAATAAAATCATTTGAGACTTGGCATTGAAATGTATTTTAACATCTGCTTCTCAAAGACGTGACTTTGGGTGACACAAGGGCCTGTACTACTCCTAAAGATGCTCAAGCTTTTCCTCGTCATCCACCAAGCCATAGTCTTGAGCACAGAACCTTGTTGCTTCTTTGAAGATAATTTAACATTTGTAGAAGATGGATATACAAAGAAATAGGGTTTCTTTTGGGGGGAAGAGGAACTTAATTTGAGTCTTTATTCAAAACAGACCATTCTACCTGACACAAACTTAAACTTGATAAATAATGAGATGGGAGAATGTAAATTGGACCTTCATTTGAGACTTACGAGAACCAGATATGAACTCAATATGATTAGAAAAGTTCCCAGAAAAAAAAAAAAAAAAAAAAAAAAAAAACCTTTCTGGAAACGATATCACAAACCTTTACTGAGCTTCAGATATGGTACTGAAATATTATTGTGATTATAATAGTTTTCATTTCTGTATAGCATTCCTTATTGTGCAGACTGCAACAAAACACGGAAATTGCTTTCTTGCCTCATGATTTTGAAGAGCCAATTTCTCTTCCTGTTACTACAATTGTTTTTTTAATCATCTAATCTGGAGTTAAGCTGCTGTTGCTTAAACTACCACAGGTGCTCACGTAAAAACAAACACCAAGAGAATGAATCAGCTGTGGCCAAAGACATTGAAAGGGGTTCAAAATGGACGTTAGTAAAATAAGTTACTGTACACTAATAACATTGGGCAAGTCCCCAGTTTTTCTTTTCCAAGTGAGTGTCCAAATGCTTTCATAACAAGAGTTTGAGTCTTTGGTCACAACGAAGTCACTGGCTTTGAAGTATGGGGCTGTAGAGTTATCTGTGTTGTCTTGCAGAAGCTTGCGGAGATGGTGGGAGGAGATGTGCACGGAGACACCTGCAAAAGACATAGGGATGATGGTATCCATGGCTTTATGATGAGAGCACATCCTCCAGATCATAGAAAAGAAAGGTGTTTCATTTTTAGTACAAGAATGGGATGGTTCCAACCTCTGACTACAAAAAAGCAGTAGGGGGAAGTTTGCCGGATCTCAAATGTCAAAAAGACCTGCACTATTTAATCTAGGAACTTCATGAATATTCTCAGGTTGCATTTTCTTATTCTGTGATTTAACTTTATAGCTGGATCACCATTTCCTCAGTCAAGAGCTTTACTGTTGGCCTTGCTCAGATTAACCTGCTCGTTTTCATTCCAAGACTCTTCACGATAAAACCTAAAATGTCTAAAGGGTGAAAAATTCTAGTCAAGCAATTGTACACATGAAAGTTTTTTGGTATCTTCAAACCAAATATCAATCCTGGTAACCCCAGCAGAAGATGAATTTCCTGGTAAACTGCAAGGGTTTTGCTTGCAGGCAAGAGTTAATGAATGCAGGAGGAAACCCCAGGGGAGAATTATTCATTGCAAATTTGCAAAGTTTCTGGCAATGGAGAAAAGTTGTGGCTTGGGGAAATACCAGCACTGTCATAAAGAGGACAAGAAGTATATGTGCTGTAGAAACAGGGCAATGAAACCTTGGGATGTAAAATCCCTGTTCAGACTCTGATCCAAAGATCTTTAACATTAAGGTATTTTCTAGAGGACGTGTGCATTTTGGAACAATCCCATGGCTAATATCTAGAAATACTGCCCTCCATATAATCTTTAACTCCTCTCTTGGAGGACATCAGGTTGCAAAGATGCAACTATGACAATGCATTTAGCCTGCCAACCTGTACCCTGAGCATTTCCAAGGCTCATTTGTTCTCTCATCTTCACTTGGCTTGCTGCAAAGGGAATCCAAGACCTGTACTCGCATCGCATATTACCTGAAATCACTGTGCTGGCCAAGTGGACGCGGAAGGTCCCTCCAATAGGTGGAGATGACTTTTGCAGCCTCTGAGTGATGACACTGACTCTCACATCCTCTGTGGAGACATAGAGGTAGCCAACCTCCTCAGAGCCCTCGCAAAGCAAAGCACCTCTGTGTGACAGAGAGAGACCACAGCAAAACAAGAGCAGTCAGGACCCCCACTTGTGACACCTCTGTACCACCAGCAGCAGAGGGTCACCTGATGTGTGCATAACTCTTGAATGACCTAAGGAAAGCACATCTGTAGCTGTAATAGGCTTGGATACTCTCAGCCTATATCCCCATGATGCAAGTATTGCATACAACAGAAAATGATGAAAAACACCTTTTTTTTAACCTATGATGGGGGAAAAAAAAGTTCAAAAAAAAAAAAGCACCAAGTACAAGTGAATCCTGTCCCACAAAATGCATTTCTCAGGATCAATTCAATGCAGACAGATTCAATCAAAATTTTATCATCCCCAAATAATAGCAAGGAACACATACGAATATCTCGTATCAGAGCTCATCCAAAGCCTAATTTCTAAAACTTAAAATATTCTCTCCCTTGCCACTATTTTTTTTTTTTTCCCAAAAGAAAAGCGACGGTCTGTGGTACAATGATGCCACCATGTGGTTAAGAGTCTGGTTAACAGCTAAAGTCTCAGTCCAGCCACGACTTCTGCACAGCAAAATTTGCAAATCCAAAACCGAAAAACACTGAACCTTCTTATCTGACCTACAGGCAGTACGAACTTCAGGGATAGCTAATATTCCTGCCCCGATCACACAAATTTGTGTTAAAACAAAGCACAGCATGCACTCAGTTAAGAGAAAGAGCCAGCTTTGTTTTGAATATATCCAAAAATGTGTGCAGCCCACACACTTTTAAAGCTTGTGATCATTTATGTTTTGAGTCTACCTGGTTCCAGCATCACACTGATTTCTCTTACATCTTCCTCCGAGATGCAAACACTCAGCAGTGCCAAGCACTTTTTCCTGATGAGAGGTACTATAATCAATTTATCTCTTAATCCTCTTTTTTGATAAACTGAACAGATTGAGCTTCCTACACCTTTTCCTCCCAGGCATTTCCTTCAGTTCTATAATCATGCTTATGGCTTTTTTTCCCAGATTTTCTAAAACCCTTTGAAAAAAAGATGTGCTCATCAGTGCTGTATGTAGCATTCTAATGCCAGTCTTAAGGCTACACACAGATGTAAAAATATCTCCCCTTTCTTGATTAAACCTCTGTTTATACACAAACCTCACAGACATTTCCCTTTATTCTCATCCTTGTCTTCACTATTGGTGGTTTCTGCCAAAATACCACATAAGTTACGTCTGACTCTGGCAATTAAATGCACTTTTCAAGGTGACACTTCAAGTCAAATCCTTCTATGCTGTGCTGGCTCTCTAAATTGACCTCTACAAAATACCTAGGTCTGAATGTGGTTTAACATTTATCAAATGATGTCTTAGATTTGTGCTCTGCAGGACAATGGTCTGAAGTGCTGCAGAGCAGATAACATATTGGGAAAATGGACAAACTGCAGCATGCTGGCCTTTTCCTTTGTGAGAACTGAGACTATGTGAACCCTAAGGGAGGACGGGTGAATTCACCAAAGCCATGGATTTCACCAGGAAGTTCAAGGATTTGGCTGTTCTGGGAACCAGACCTAACAGCCTAATTTCCCTCAGATCTAAACCACCTCTGACAGAAGAATTTAACTGTATTCAGAGTGGTCAGAACTAATGACACATTGCTTTGTTTTTACTTGAAGAAGGAGTCAACTCAGAAGTTGGTAAGAAACCAACTTAAGTTACAGCAGACTGAGGTTCACTTTCTGAAGGGATGCTGCTTCTACATGATTGACACAGCTCAGAGCATCCAGAGCATGCTGAGACCAAAATCTGGTATCCTAATAAAGAGCTGAATGCCATCTACTGAATACAGCTATATGGGCAATCTGCAGCAGCCTGACCACAGCCTGAACAGAGGTCATCTGAGATGCCTAGAGGAGAAAACTCCAAAGAAAGCACATGGATTGCTAAGCAGGACCAGACTCATGACTCTTATGTTCTGTCTGAGAAGACAACAAGCTCCAGACACAGCAGGAACATGAAGAGGTAATTATAAGGTATGAGATAAAGTCACTGTCCCTACCTTAGGGAGAGAAGGGGCAAACTGGCACCACAGCCAGAGGCGAGCCAGGACACATTGTAAGTGGGAGAAGACCCCACCACAGTCACTGCTTCTATGATCCTCCCACCTAGCCAAGGTGGCTTGGGATCCCTCTGAGAAACTGAAAGAGAAAGAGTACAAGCATTCATCAGATACAGGAGAACAGATGTTAGTATGTATATGTTATTGCCATTTCAGAGCTGGAAACATATCTAACTTTTTTTTTTTTTTTTTTTTTTTTGTGGTTAACGTTTTTGTTTTTTTGGCAGGGGAAGAGCACTCAAGAGTTACATTTATAGAAACACATTTTCAAAGAAGCCAAGAAGGCTGATGTTTGGCAATTACTTCTTGATTGTTTTCACACACAAAACAAAAAAAACATCAGTTAAAGGAAATAAAGGAGATTGTTGTGCCTGTTATGAAACACTCTTCTCCTTTGGAATAGTTTTAACCAGACCCATTATTAAAGCTTAGCATGGAAGAACCTGAAAAGACAGCAACATTAACAAGAATTGAAAAACTGACTCTTTTACCAGTCACAGCTCTGTCTGTGATGATGACTTCATCGAGGTAAAATGACCCAGGGGTTTCCTTTTGCAGCGTAGGACTCAGCAAATCAATCTGATGCACAAACACCGGGGAGGTGGCAGGGAGGTCCTGGAGTAGCATGGAGTGATTCACACATCCCCTCCAGACATTGGTGCAGGTGAACATCCAGCTAGAAGACAACAAGGTTGTGCAATCCCTGTTTTGCTGCGGGGTAGTTACAGTAACTGAATTCAGAGGTGCTTTGTGAAGCTTTCAGATGACCTCGGGTGCTGCTGTTATTACCCATACACAACACATTCACTCAATGGCCTGTGGTCACTCTCTACAAGTCTCGGTTGGATGCCCCACAGAAATAAACCTTTAGATATCTACTTATGCATCCTCCTGCACCACAAGTCTGCATGTGGGAATGACTACTGCTGCTCTATTTTTGGTATAAGCACGGCCACAGCATCAGTGACCTCAACAGAGGTTAATCCAGAGTTCAGATCCTTTGGGAGTTCCAGACAACTGCTCAATGCCCCCAGCTCTCTCTATCATGTAGTAACATCACACCAAGCCCCCTCCTCCTTTTCAGAGGTACACACACTCCTCACAAACCTTACATAGAACCCAGGCTTCCAATTTCACTTTCTGAAGTTCTTCAGATTGCTGTGGGTTTTTTGTTTGTTTGTTTGTTTTTGTGCGTGTAAGCATATGTGCAGGGTTGTTTTTTGTTTGTTTGTGTTTGTTTGGTTGTTTTTTTAAAAAAAAATCTGCCTGCCTGTAACTTCACATCACCAACGTTTCCCACCAGTAATGTTTCTCACCCATATGTTCTAGGTGAAACAAAAATCAAAAACTACACCAACGTTCCAAGCTTTGATAATGTTTTTGTGAGATCCCTGGAGGAAAAAAAAAAATAAAAAAAAACATGTTTTTGTTTCACTGCCAAAAATCCTTTGAGTGTTGCCAAAGAAGCCAGGAACTTAAAATCTTCAGGAACTTTCTGGGGGCTTCTAAAGACAGAACAAAATCTCCAGCCAGTGTGCATTACTGTGGTGAAATTGTTTATGTAACAAGAACATGCAAATCTACTCTAAAAGTCCCCAAAAACTGTGTAAGCACATTCCAGGCATGTCTGTGCAGGGACACAGCATGTCAGCTTACCCCTATTGACAATTTATACCTAGACAAATAAGAACTTGCTGCTCCCCCTTTTCCTAGTACACCTCATTACTGTGTCATCTCTGTATTGTAAGTGTGTGGATACCTTTTGTGGTCAGTTTCATTGAAATCCCATAGGCAAGTGAGATTCCTCTTCACTGAACATAAAGAAACATTGGTGTAGGACACTGAGATACGAAAGATGCGGCTCATATGACCTTTATGTGCAAAACACACCTGAAAAAAAAAAGAAAAAAAAAAAAAGAAGAAAAACATAAATTTGTATTTATAATGTCTGCAGAAGAGATTGTATCATGATTGAATCCTGGTTTACATTAGTAGGGAAGCATTTTGTTCAAGGTGAGCCACTAAAGCCCACTCCTTAAGGACAGATTGCCCCAGAGGAGACAGGGCACTGGCACCCAGGTGGCCTTTGTGTCACCACATAGCCTCGGACCTCTCAGGCTTCAGTGAGGTTTGGGGGCATAGGATAGCTGGGAAATGTCAACGGGGATTTCAAGAAGCTGAGGGTGAGGAAAGCAGACTGAAGGAGCTGGTAAGATAAAAAAATTGGGGTGGGTGTCAGGTAGGGAAATAAGAGTAAAAGAGGTTTATGAAGGAGAGATAGAAGGAGTGTCTGGAAGGACTTCAGGAGGTTTTGGGAAGGAGTTTCTCCCTCCCTCCTCTTTCCTGTCAATCCACAACTATTCACCTCCCCCCAGGTGGCAAGAAAGGGGTGACAGAAAGGGTTGAAATCATAAACATAATCCTATTAAGAGCAGATGTAGAAAACAGGCAAAAAAGTGATCCAGAGCAGACCCCCAGATATCAAGGTGGGTTTGTGGTTGTTTTGTTTTAGGGAGGTTGATTCTGTCAAGAATTGGCTATTCTCACATCTTCCATCCTCTCTTAACACCATCCCACTTCTTCCTTTCTCTCCCTGCAGGTGCTGCATCCCCAGGAGCAGAGGCCAGATAGACATATTAAGCAATATCCATGTATCAGGGACCTCAAATTGTTCTCCCAGTCAACCAAAGACACTGCTCTGTCTACAAGCACAGCCCAAAGACACAGTCTTCTGCAGTTCTGGGGGAAATCTAAATAGACAGGATGATTTTACAATCCTGACTTGGCTCTGAGTATTCACTCCCCAGTACAATCAACTCAGCTTGAGCAGCCACTCACGTGTGTGTATTCAGTAAGATCATATCTTGTTAGGGTTGATGGGGAAGTTTTCACCAGCTGGCTTGGTCTGCGAATGCTGAACCTCCCACAGAAGGGCTCCGTTCCACTAACAACATGTCCTGTGGTAACAGAGGCTCTTGTACCTAACAGAAAAAAAAAAAAAAAAAAAAAAAAAAGAGAAAAAAAAAAAAAAGAGGGGATGAAAGACTTGAAAAGGATTCAGAAGACACCAGTACCATCAAGGTGCTCATGAAAATACAGGAAATGGGTTTCCAAAATTTTTCAGACACAGTCCTACCCTTGAGTAAATAGATGACAAAAATTTGCAGGGCTGTCAGAACCCTAAACTAGGGGACAAAAGACAAGAGAGCATCAGATCCCTGAACTGACCCGTAAGCCTCATGGAAAATACCACTGTCTTTAGCCAGATAGAGTATGTTTGAGTAAAACCACTCATCTCTTCTAGAAAGCACCCAGGCAAGGCTGAAAATTGATATATAAGGCAACAGAGAATCCACCTTCCTCTTTAGGATTTTTGTTCCATTGAGTTATCAACCTTGCTGCCAAAAAGTTACTAGGATTCCTCCTGTTCCTAGTAAATAAAAGGCTTTCTTCCAACTGTACATACTGCATATTCATCTTTTCTTCCACTCTGAGAAATAAAGCCTGCCAAGTGAAGTTAATAGCAGAATCTTAAATCAAGGAGCTGTGATTCTTTACGCAAAGGGTGTTGGGCCTGTGGGAATCTCTGTTGGAAGATAGCATGAATGCAATTGTCAAGCTGTGTTCAAGAGCTACGTAAGCACAGGGAAGGGAGAACTTCTGAAGGTAGTTGAATGGAAAAAAAAAAAAAAGAAAAAAAAAAACACCACTTGCTCAGGAAATTCATTGAGTCAAAAATACTTCAGATCTAGAGAGAATTAATGGTGAGTTATTATACACGGTCATCCAATTTTTACTCTTCCCTAGGCATCCGTTTTGGTTTCTGCCGAAGGCAGCATGCTGGGCTAGATGGACCCTGGCTCTGAACACATCTGGCTGTTCTTTTACTATCCTGGAATCCATTCACCACAATTTCACCACAGTTCTGCCTTTAAATTTTCTACATTTTACAGCCATCAATGAAAACTCAAGTTCTCCTTTGTTCTATTTGCTACGTATCAGTTTTCCTTCCCACTTCACTGTTGAACCCCTGTTAACTTTCCTCTCTTTTGCTGGCAGAACTGGAGCACTGGGATCACATAATTAGACTAAGAATGTCCAATCACTGTTTCCAGTTTTCTGCTTAATAATTCCCTTCATCCCCACCCACTCAAATGAAATCATTGCTTTCATCCACTCGGATGAGTCAGTCACCAAATATACATATTACTGGCTGGGTCCTGTTCTCTCTGTCCTGAATACAAGGGAATAATGTGGGTTTTTTAGGTTTTTTAGACAATAGTGGACTTTTTGGCATAGGATTAGTATATGCTTATTGATATTGGAAATGTAAAATAGAGTAAGCTTCTGATGTGTGCAATACTTTCATGTTAGAAAACCTTTTTTTTTTTTCTTTAAACAGAAGCTGATGTTTTATACCTTGCCTGACCTGCCAAGGATACCACAGATATGTGCATCGTTTCACTTCCAGTCGTTGAGAAACACTGAAAGAAAAAGTCCTCTAGAGTTATAATCAGGCTATATCCTGAGCTATAGCTATGGGCTACACTAGATCTGCTTCCTCAGCACACATACTGAAACATGAATAATTTCACATGCCCCAGGACTTGCCTTTTTCATCTGTGCTCCTAATGTTTCTAACCACCGACACATATAACCTGCTTTGATAAGCTTGTTGCATCAGAATAAATACAAATAAATGTGTGCATAGCTCCATTAAAAGTGTGAATTTACTGTCATTAAAAGTTTAAAGTACGTTTATATCAGAAAAAGGAAATTAACTCTCTCAGTAAATACTGCTTATTTGTTAAAGGAAATTACTACCTTCTTTCTCAAACCCATCACGGAAAAGGATTTTAGCAGAAGTTGGCTCCGTGTCACATCCTACTGAAAGAAGTTCCTCTATTGCTGTTTGGACCTTAAAGAAAAGTGAAAAGCAGTCACAGTACAAGGGTGCCTGGCTCAATTCAGCAGAGAGTTTCAACACGTGTGTCACTGCATTTTTCATCAGCTGTGGACTGGTGACAAGGTGGCTCTGACTGAGCAGGTAGGCAAGTGATTGAGAGTAAAATTTTGATTTGAGGCTCAGCACAGACAGAGCCTCAAACTGGACATCTAAGATACTTTAGGGAGTGTGAGGCATCGTTAGCAGCCTACTCAGGAAGGGACAGATTTCTTAAAAGAGCCTGGTTAATGTGCAGTGCGTGTGCAACACGCAGGTGAAGACTGAGGGTCTGGTGTCTGAAGGCACTACACACTTCTCTGCAGACCTGACAGGCCAAGAGCAGAAGCTGTGATGCGTTTAGAATATCCCCGGAGTCACACACCCCAGAAAATCTCAGAGACATTCCCAGTAACAAAAATCTCCACTAGCTCACGTAAAATGCACCTCAGCCTTTGGGCCGAACATTTCATTTGGTATTATCTGTCAATCTGGCTGTCAATTACCAGAGCTTCACCAGTTACAGCCAGCAGAGGACTGGGTGTCTGTGCCTAATGACACCTACCTGCTGAGCAGTAGCATTCGTGTGGATCATTTTGCGGAGGACGTTGTTCCCGGAGATACTGAACCACCCTGTACCAGTCACAGTCAGCATCTGCCAAGCAAATAATGGAACGTATGGATGAAAACAGGCACAAGCTGCATGAGACACAAAGACTTCAAGCCTGCTACGTGGATCATTTACCAGGGAGGAACTTACAGCAAACGTGTCCTTTCAAACCTCTGTAAAGAGGCCCTTCAGCTACTCTTAAACTATGCTCACTTTCCACGGTCTCTCTTGACACACACCTGGGGCTCCGGTTCTCAAACTAACAGTAGCACAAGTGATACACAATTTGCACAGAAATGCTGAAAGTTGTGAAAGTCATGAATGATCCTACAGCCCTGAGGTTCAGCCACAAGGACAGACTTCCTCAGCACAAGCACTTCATCAAGCTGGAAGTTTCTAGCACCCAATTACAATATACATGTAGACTCGTTCTGATAACACACACAGTTCTCTGTCATTAGGTGGGGGGGAAAAAAAAATAGAATCTATCCCAAGACTGTATTAATTAGCATGAGGAACAAGGTAATGAGCAAGGTAAAATCTGAGGGGAGTAAGCATTGCTTGCACTTTAACATATTAGCAAATTATAACAAAACCATAAAAATATCCTCCTACCAATGAGTGAGAAAGCCACAGACACCTTCAGTTCCCATGACGGTATTTATCAACTAACTCAGCAGGTTAAAACAAGGGGGGAACAAGACCTTTACCATTAGGATTTGCTGCCACCCATGTCAATTGAATCAGGGTAGTCTACCTCCCACAGAATGGTGTAGGTTGGAAGGAACCCCAGGGCCAAGCAGGCAGCACTGACCTGCACTTCTGGAAGATGCAAGGCACGAGCCCGAATTTCGTGTCTCTCCCTGTAGTAGCTGTTCACCACCTGGGGATTCAGCCAGGTGTTATGTATCTGGACTCCAACTCTCATCCCATTGCTGGGTGTCTTTCCATGATGTAGTGCTTCCAGGTAGTACCTGAGGCCACCAGTTAGCTCGAATTTCTGGGATTTTGGCTGCCAGCTTTCACTCCAGTTCTTCACCCAGTTCCCGGACCATTCAGAATTGCCAGCAGGGATAGAAGCTATTCTCACCTGTGTCCAAACCAACCAAATCAATCAGAGGCATTTCTCTAGCACCAAAATACAACACCCACAGCTCCAAAACCAGACCTGTGCTTTTGGCTGATATCAGTGGGTTGGTGGTTGGTGTTCTTTTCTATTCTACAGGGAAAAAAAAAAAATATCTCAAAGAACTTTGATTTAAGGCTTAATACCACAATAAATATAATTCTTATGGCTGACCCTAGCCCCAGCAGCAGTTCCCCATGTAGCTTTGCAAGGATGTCTTCAGTTCTGGTCCCTTAAATACAAACAAAAATGTCTTCAGGAAAAGAAATTCAAAGACTCTGGATGTTACGGTGAGCCCTTCATGAGCTGGGCAGCTGATAGGGCTGATGTAAAATGCCAACTACAATCATAAAAGTTTAACTTTCCAACAGACGTACAATAAGGGCCAACAAGCCAATTCATGTTGGGGGAATTCCTGCTTGTGATGACCTTAATTAAAACTCCTTCCTATTGTTACCTCCTTATTTTTCTCTGTACCAGAAGTAATACCTTGTTTCCTGGATCTTCAGATAAACTCAGGTACAGAGATGCCTGTCCATCTGCCTGAATCCAGAAGGTGTAATTGTTGGTCTGAGGAGCCACAAAAAATCCACGAAGCCTGGAGCTAAGCAAAAGCAGAACGTCTGTAACGTGCAAAAGAGTTACTGTAAAATCCCTGCCACCCTGCACTCCACCTCCATGCATACATCAAGTAACAAGGGAAGGGCACAGGACCAAGTAATAATGATACACCCTCAGATTTTAAAACTAGAAGAACCTCAAAATGACCAATTTTCACATGTTACAGTGCTCATGTTTCACAGAAGTTTTCAAAAAGAAGAAAAAAGCAGCTTCATGAAAATAAGTAGGGTTCTGTTGGTGGTTACACCTGGTTTGTACATTTCTTCTAAAGCAAAGTCTTACCCCTGAATAGGCAGGAAAATGCTCAAGATCTCTCACAAGATCAACTAAAAAAAGTACAGAGATGACAGAAAAATGAAAATGTCCATGAGCATTGCACAGCTCTTCATAGGTGCATCTCAAGAGGCAGACGCAGTGGCCACCAACGCAGCTCAGACATTTCTGTAGCCTGGGGCAAATCACTTTATTTCCACTGGCACCACCTGAGCTGCAGTTGCCAGCATCATCCAAGGATGTGACCCCTCTGCATCTGGCCAGAGCACCAGCCCAAGACAGACTGACTACAGCTCCTTCTACCACCGCAGCAATTTCTTTCATGGTATTTCAGCACATCTAGGCCAGGCAGAACAGAAATACTGAATGAAAGCAAAAAGGGAAAAATAAAACACTTCGCTGAATATTCTGAGCTTCAAAAGGACCTCAGAGCAGAGGGTTTGCTTTGATTTAAAGGAGCAATGCAGTCAGGCTCTGCTATAAAGAACTGTCAGGTGTTATTGCTACCTCTTACACTGCTAAAGGTGATTGCCATGGCTTCATCTCTTTTTAAAATCACTGAGTACCTGAAGGAGTGCTTTGCCGCAGACAGAAATCTTACTGGGGAGCTGGCATTAGGTACAAATTGCCATCTATATCCTGGACCTGCTTCCGTTAGATCAGAGGCATCATCCCAAACTTCAAAGAGAAGCCCTCTATTTCCTAGAAAGTTAAAATAAAAGTGTTCTCAGCAGCAGCCAACAAAAACCCCAGAGCACATGCTAAAATCAGTGGTGTAAGGAGGCAGGCCAGGACAGAAAAATTTAATAATAAATTGGCTCTGCAGATGAACACAGCTTCCAACCAAGCTTACAGGACTGCTCTTGGAAGAGGTACTGAACTGAACCACAGTCAAAATAAGCCAAACTTCATTTTATGCACAGTAATTTCCTATGGCAGGCATCCATACTACAGATATCATCTGTACATCCCCCTTATTGTCCACAGCCCTACACACCAGGCTGACATCCTTCCCACCATACATGTAGCCCGTGCAAGCAGTGGGTTGAGCTCCCCACCTTGCCTTTCCTTATTATTTACCTAGGAGAAACCAGCTTCAAGGCTTGGAAAATCCTGTTTCTTGATCACGTTCACACCAAATTATTTCTACCCTATGTTTCCATGTGTGCTTTGCCTGTTTGGACCTTTGGTTATCAAATACCGTACCTGGCTGGGGGGCACCGAGCCTCCTGCCCTTGCCAACTGGCTCAGTGGTGCAGATGATTTGCTGGGGAGAGACATGCTTCACTTTACAGGGGACACCTGGCAGCAGGGAAAGGAGACAAATGTCAGGCTTGGAAAAACATCTGAGCAGCAGAATAAACCCATCTTTATCACCAGAAGGTGCTGACACTTTGCTAGAAGTCTCTGTTTCTACTATCAAGCAAGGAAAATGGTTCACTCCCATAGTCCAAATCACTGGACCTTCCTTCATGGTGAGTACATCTCCCATGCTGTCATTATCTCTGAAGAGCAATTGGGTTTTGTGTATTTAAAATAAATAAATAAATAAAATAAAAAAATCTAGTGCATTATTCCTCTTACCTGCAGAGGTGACCTGCACCGGCTCCTCAAAATAATCCCCCGTGATAGTGAGATCAGTGCCTCCTCCAAGACTTCCACCAGCTGGAAACACAGAGGCTATTTCTGCAGAGGAAGGAAAAGGGGGATCTGAAAACGAGCGTAGGAAAGATTAATCCCAGCCCTATTTCTGTCAAAGCCAGCAGTGCACTTGCACTATTTCCAACCGGAACAGGCTCCTGTAAATAAAACAGGCTTCAGTGAGCCTCCACTGAGATTTTGGCAGCCGCTGGGATTACGCCAGGAATGAACCACACGGATAACAGCTGCATGACAGGGGAAATACTGTAATGCTTGGACTACCTAGCAGTGGCTGCATCTATCATGCTCAGATTGCAGAACGGCATATTCTGCACTACTGAGGCACTCTGGGAAAATAAATAAATAAATAAATAAATAAAATTATTTTAATCCTTTTGACCTTGTCTGACTTGTTTCTCAATTTAGTTTATTGGTTTAGATGTTACCGCGCTTTCCAACTGTCCCATAGGTTTCAGGGACAAACACAGGGAGCTGAACACCTGATGGCAAACGTCCACATCATGACTACAGGAATCTTTCATGATTTGATCTTATTATAATTATGCCCTTCTACACTGGAAACCTATTTTTCTCTTTGATGACATTTCCTCACTTTGCATTCAGATGCCCTAGTTTAACCAACCAGTTGAATTTCACACAGTTCTGAAAAAAAGACTAGTAAATATGAGAGAAGCTTGCCCAGATGTATAAATTTACATTTTTTTCTTAGTTCATCAGATTTTTAACTTTATTTTGGCAGTGTTGACTGCAGTGGTCTGCTGGAAAGATCTGGCAGGTCTTCTTTCTGCTGGTGCTCTGCTAGCAGCCAATTCCATGCAAGGTTCCTCAGTTTGTAAATAAACACATAAAATTACCCTCCATTACAAAGTGCTTTGAATTTACAGCTGAAACAAACTGTATGCTATATTTTATATATTGTTTATGTGTTGGCTTTGTTATGAAAAAATAAATGAATAAAAAACTAATTTTGTTATATCCTGAACCAGGCTCCTAAGATACAGCCCATAAGGTAACAGTGCATCCATTACATTAATTTCAGCCCCTTGACAGGTCAAGGGAATGGCAGAACCATGATGGGACCTTTCTGGGGACCTGTGCAGGTGAACCAAGTGGTCTTTTTCAGCGTTATTCAACCACTGACTGAAGTCAAAGGCTGCCCAGTGCTGATCTTCTGACTGTTGTTGTCAAAATTGTCTTTTGACTGTTAGGCACAGGTCCTTACTGACTCTGTTTGCTCATGGCCATAGTCTCAGGTTGGTGCTCAGAATCTTGTTTTCTGCTGTTCTCATATCTGGAAATATCACATGGAGGTTATAGTGTGCCTCGGTCTGCCTTTTTTAATAATAGTACAAAAACCTGCCACTCACCAGCCCTTTATCCAGAAACCAGCTCTTGGAGTAGCTGATAATCCCCTCCTTGAGATGCTTTATCTCATCCTAAAGCCTGCATTGCATCCTTTTATGGCCAGCATCTCATTCCTACCAAATACAGTGTGACTTAAGGGGGAGAGGTGAAATAAAGCCCTTCTCAATCCAACACCTCAAGCCTACTGGTGACCTGATGGGACAAGAAACAATGACAAAGAGACTCCATCCCAAACCCTGGCACCCTGCTGTGCTCTGGTTGACTCTCTCTCAGGTTAGGTTGTCCAAAAGACACAGTTAAAATGTATCCTTAAGAGGAATATTAACTCACTGCAGATTAGAATGAAGCCCATAGCAGCACACCCAGCCATAGCAAATACATTTGGTAATCCTGAAATTTTTGGTCTGCAGCTTTGTGTAGTGAGCCCGTAAGGAAGCTTACCATACTGGTAGGGCTACACAGCTAAAATGAGGGCACAAAAGGATTATCCCATTGGCATAATTAGAGCTCTTAGACCTTGCTGGCACTGCCATGAGATGGGACAACCATTGAGGTGAATCAGATCGGTACCTGAATGTATTTGATACAAGAAAAGCTCCTGTTTGGCACTGATGAGCCAAGCATCTTTGTGGACTGCTGATCTGCAAGAGAGAGAAATGCATGAGAGATCCATGGGCATTTAACTTACAGTAGACCTTCCTTTGGCAGACCCGGACACTTGCTCTCCAGAGGAACATTTCTATGGGGACTAACACCACCTTTCACCTGCACATTGAGGCACTGATTCAAGAAACTATTACATGACTGAGACTCTTTATTAAGTTTTACCATTAAAAAAATATATAAAAATGTATGGGTTTGGAAGTGTTTTCACCTCCTCTTCTTTTATGTCTATATTTTTTCCATTTGTAAAAAGAGCTAAAAGCAAGGTAAAGGGATTTTATTCAATCTGAACTTAAATTACTTCTTGTTTGGGCACCAAAAATAAAGTATTAGAACTGCAAAGCAGAAATGCTTGGGGGGGGGAAATATTCTCCTTTTTCATCCCTAATCTGATGACCATCTTCTCAAGTTAGCAAAACCTTATTTCTAAGTAATGAAACACAAGTTTCAATAAAATTTTATGCACTTATTCTGGAATCAGAAATGGAGCTGTATACCCATATGAAACTAAAAAAAAAAAAAAAAAAAAAAAAAAAGAGAGAGAGAGAAAGGCTCTTTTACTCACTTTCCTTTGTTGAACACTGAGAAGCTAACGTTGTGAGACCCTGGAGGAGAGAAAATAAATGTGCTTTATGGCAGAAATGCAGAGAGCTTTATGAAGAGTGCATCCTACCAAACCTTTTCCAGATGTCTTGTTCCTGATTCTCCTCTTCCTTACACTTTTCTTACAACGGTACAATTGTGTTGATTTCGGCAGAGCTGCTCTTGATTTAAATGAAAAAGCTAGAATACTTTAAAATATACTATGAGAGTCGAAGAAATCTCACAAATAAAAGAATCAAAAAAAAAAAAATCCCAATAACTCTATGGATACCCTCCAAGCTCTGGAGATGCAGGAGTAGCAAAACATGCTAGAATAAAAACATGATTTCCACCCCCTTTCACCAACCTATGTGGTTCCCTTCCACTCGGCACCGCATGGTCCCCACTCCTTCATCTGCCTGAATTGGGTAGCTGTGGAAAAACAAAAGGATTTTGCTGAGCCTTGGGAGCAAAAAGAGCAAGATACAGCAAGAATCATTTAATCAAGCAAAGATGTGGACTTCCACTTCATAAGCTCAGCAGCTCATAGAAACAGTACTCCAGCCTGACCCCTTTCCTTTATTTCCAGAAGCTGATCCTGTTGGTGACTTTCAGAACCCCCATTTTAAATAAGAGCTGAGGACAGACAGGTCTTGCCATGTGGTAGGGCAAATAGTAGGACAAAAGCTGAGGGAAAGTGGGGAATACAACCTAGGATTTACACAAAGAAACAAGCCTAAAATTCAATTTGCTTCATTTTTCTTCTGCTTCACAACTTGACAAGGGCAATTCAGACCCATGCCTCTGGAAGGAGAGGAGCTGCACAGGATGGAGGGAGGTGATGTCTCAACAAGAGGTTAGAGCTTGCTCTTAAAATGAGGAAACTTTAAACACGGAAACTGCTTTGGGAGGTGGGATAGGGGAAGATCAATAATGCTATGACTCCATCTGTAGAAATTTAAACAATAATTTGCCAAGCCGCATAAAGAATTTTCTGTTTGGACCTGTGGTTTTTGTATTTTAAACATCTCTCCTATCACTACCAGGGAAGGGATTTCCTGCTAGAGGAAACAGAGACAGGACAGTACTGCAGAGATAACACATGCAGGTTGCCCCTAAAACCACTCTCCTGGGGGAATGGATGCTGTTTCTCCCCTCCAGGTCCCCTCCATCTGCCCTGCAGCACTCAGGGATGGCTCCTAAGAAGGATTTGGGTGCCTAATTCCCATGCAAATCAATGGGATTTTTGCAACCAAATCTCCATTCTGGGCATGGTTTGCAAGGACTTGCAAAGAGATCACACTTCTCGTTTCTAGGCTGCTTAAGAGTTTGAGGGCAAGACCCAGATCTACACCCAGTCATTGATTTGCACAACTGAGGACCTATCTTTAAGACATGATACTGGGTATGAGGCAGAGGAGTATTTCAAGAGACACTTTCACACCTCCTCCCACTCTTAAAACTGTCCCACTGGTGTAGTTTAGACTATGGTGGGGTTTTCTTTGTTTATTTTTCCTAGGCAAAACCTCCCAGAAAACATAGCACTTTCTGGCATTTCTCCTCTTAATTGTTCTTCTGTACACCCCCAGTCTATGAGTAGGAATGGGTAGCAATTAAGCAAGATCTGCTGGTGCTACATCAACCTTTGGGAGCTGTGAAACAACACAAGTTCCATCATCAACTCCCATTTGCATTTAAGTTCTCCTCCTGGGAGCCAGGAGGAATTTTACAGCACAATAAGAGGGCTTGCTGAGAAGCCTTGGCACTAAGTTCTGCAGGAGCAGGTTTTTCCCCTGTTCCTTGTAAAAACAGCCTCCCTCTTCCAGGGCTCACAGGCTCCATGAGAAGTGCATCATTTATATTACAGAAAAATTAAAGACTGATACTTGTGTTATAGCATAGACTGAGCTGCGTTTGCTGTGTAACATTCCCACAACAGCAGCATACAAATACTGCTCAATGACTGTGAGCTTTGCACTCATTAATGATGTCCTGCGGTTCATTACCCTCTCCTGCCTTGCTGGAGGCCCCTAAACAGCATAGGTGCAGCGAGGACATTGCATATCATCTGATCATCTGTGGGTCCTGACCCTGCCTAGCTACAGCCAGAGGAGTAGAGAGCCAGCTCAGCTGGGACCCCATGGTCCCTCTCTATATTATGACAAAGCAAAAAAAAAAAAAAAAAAAAACTGCACATAAGCCCTCGCACCACTACAAACCAAAGGTAGGTCAAGAACTGACATGCTTCCAGTCTGTCTGTCAGCAAAAGAGCAGAGGCTGATCCATCCATCTCCTTCTGCCGTAAGAATAGCCGGTCTAGGAAAAAAAAAGAAACAAGCAAAAAGATAGGACAGGTGATAACTTCGCTGGCAAAATCATGATTCTGTTAAAATCAGCAGCCAGTATTTTCAAAAGGGCCAGGAGTTTTCCCTCACTGGTATCCAGCATTTACTAATCCAGAAACCTAGACAAATCCTATTTTTTATTTATTCATCTTATATATCTTGGCCTGTAAAATATATTCCCCAAATACTGCAGGAACTACATGCCTACAAAGATTGTGGCAGAACCATCTTCAAGACACTTATGCTGACCTCAGACAACTCAGTATCTCCTCCCTGTAGTAAAAGGCTGGTGGTTTGGGTTCCAAATAGCCCCTATGCACCCTTCCCTCTTAGAGGCACCAGGTAACACAAGTAGATCATCCTGCTGGTACAACCATAGCACTTCAAGACAGACCTCAATCATTTCATTATTTCATTGAGAGGTAATGCTACAGACTACTTCTGCTAAAAATCACCCAACCTCCTAACAGCAAAATTAAGTATTCCCACCTTAAAGAACAGATATGGAAAGAAAACTTCATCTGGGGAGGAGGAATCAGGTGGGAGAAATAGGTTCACAGTAATTAGCATAACAAGCAAAAGGTGGCAATGTTTCTTTGAGAATCAATAGACAATTGAGGAAAATAAGTGAAACACTTTGCTATGACCCATGCTTCAGAGTAGTTTTATAACAGCGTTTGTTTTTATTAATAGTGATTCCTGACACTATAATGCCTTTCTTTTAAGGATGAATTGAAAAAAAAAAAAAATCAGTGCTGCAAAAATGATTGATTCATCATTGGACCTTCACATCCCATACAAAGCCTGAAAAAGAATGCAAAACACTTTAACTAAAAAAATCTTCTTTTTTTTTTTTTTCTGCCATCTGAATCCTGAATCAGTGTGACTGAGTGACAGATGGCTCTGCTCAAGTCCAAGTCCCCACCTGGTACGTATTTACTAACACACCAAAAATGGGCAAAGTATTCCTGTGAAGCTAGGATGTGAACCTGCCTGGTATGCTAAGATTTTGAAGCCATTTCCTTTTTGGCTATAGGGAGGTCAATCTGTAAATGAATAATATAGCATTGGAGCATGCAGGCCCAAGCAACCTGCAGGCATACCATCCTTTCTGCTCACGGATCAAAGGTTTCACACTTCCACTAGAGACAGGTAAAACAGTAATTAGTATTGAACAAAGGATGGTACTGTGTGTCCAGTGAGCAAAACTGTAGGGCTGATAAAAGATAGGGCAAGTATCTGCACTGACTTCCATTCACGTTAGCAGAGAATTTAGTTACACAGCAAGGGACTTCTCCATTCAGTCTAACTAGCTACAAAAACATGTAGTGGGCATATATCTGCTGCTGCTGCTGCAATTAAAATTTCTAAGTTACTACTAAGAATATATACCTTCCCTGACTACTGCACTGATCCTTAAAATGCCAGAATACCTATAGATTACTAGCTGATCTAAATCCATCTGGGCTTAGTTCTTCACTGACATTGAGGCAAGAGCAAGGAAAACATAACCCAGCAGTAGCTGAGAATATTGAATATTTCTAAACATATATATGTGTATATGACAGACATCAGGTCAGCATTCGTACTCATTCTGGATTTACTGTGCTTATAGTCCTGATGTCCTAATGTTAAAAAAAAATAAAAATAAATAAATAAAAAAGGAAGGAAGGAAAAAAAAAAAAAAAAACTACCTGTTTTGCTCTGTGGTGCATAACCCTAGAGGCAGCAGAAAATAAAATCAAACCTTCCTTGAAAACAAGGAAGTGACCAGAGAAGGTTTAAAGCAGTGAAAAACAAAGCCTTTTGTCTCAAAATACTTGTGCTTTTGTCTTCTGACTCACTAGAGCGTTTGCCTCCAACTAATAGTATTTCTAAAAATGCAAATGGGAGGGAAAATTTATTTAACTTTTAGATTCTGACATTATTTTAATTAGTTAAATTTTAATTTGCTAGCCAAAATAAGATCTACAGCAACCAGACGCAATTACAGTACAATTCACACTGAGCCGTGATTGACTGTGCTGCCAGTAAAGAAACCAACTAGCTTAATGGACCAGTCGCAATTAGATTAACAAAGTTTGCTGGAGCCCAACTCATGAGCTGCAATAAAGCACAAAAGAAGTAAATGGCAATTCTGGGCCAACTGGTTGCAATTTATTGCTTTCACAGAGGCTGATAGAAGAAATGGCAATTTACAGGGGCAGGGGCAGCTAGCAGCTTATATATAATTACCCATCAATATAATCTACATTGAAGTCCAGGGTCTCGTATCTTCCAGCAATTGTCTTCCCATATATCTCTATTAAATTTCCTGTTTGAAAGGAAATAGAAATTGAAGAGAGTCTTTTAAAAGCAGAGTGTTTACATTTGCAGATTTTGTGAGCTGAACCAAAGAAATTCTTGATCTTTGTAAATTAATGCAGACCATTACCCAACTGCCTGTACCCATGCCTACTCCCAGTTTCTATCGAAGCTCAAGGTAACTGTACATTTAAATCCACTTGCCCCAAAACACACATCTGTTTCCCACTGAAAAAGTCCATTCCAGATTTTTCAGCAGAACTCTAGTATTTGTACCAACAAGACATCTCCTCGCATTTGTGAATTAAAACCACCATCCTATCCAAGTGCCACTGCAGAACATCATGAAGCAACCAAAATGGCATCATCAACATGCGCTAGGAGTTAGTGTGCAATGTTTGTATGCTAGACAGGGCCAGAGCCTGAAGAAGAACCTCAGCACAAATCAATTTTATTGTGTTATACACAATACAGATAATAACCACAAAGCAGCTGTACAGCAGCTGCTTTACCTTTAGGATAAACATTTTAACATACTATGTTTAAGCACATATGCTTAAAATTAAGTCCTTGAAGCAGGACCTAAAAAAAAATAAGGATAATATAAGGATTAATTAACATACGGTGCAATAAAGGAGTATTTAGGGAATTCAGAGAGCAAAATTCTCACTTAGCATATCTACAGTGTAGGTAGATACATAGGTTCTACCATGTGTGTTGATTTTCTGAGCTCCCCATAGACAGTGGAGGTCTAACCCATATTGGTCAATAAAAATCATGAAGGGTGATTCAACTCTCCCTAATGTAAATGCCTACATGTGGCCAGGTGAACCACACCTGGTTCATTTTGGAAATAAGCATTTCAAGCTGCTTGAAGAAGCCTGGAAATGCCAGCGGAATAGCAACAGGGAAAAAGCCTTCCAAAGCCCAGGTAGTTGTTCAGAACAAAACCAGATTGTCTTATCATGCCACTTTAAAGATCAATCTGAAACCCTATTAATTAAAGGACTGGTATGACATTACAATATCAGCACCTAATAGATAACCCTCAAAACTACTATGAAATAAATAGGGCCAGATGACTTAATCTGAAATCAATCAGATCTGGCACTCTGCAGCATCTCTGTACTCAGGCAAAGTTGGGCTACAGAAGCCACGTGCCAAATAACCCAGCAGTCACAGAGCATTACCCATTTCTCTTGTACCCAGGGCAGCAGACTCCTTGTGCAAACCCATTTTCCTGTTCAGCGTGAGCTTGGACATTAAGTTCTGGAGGTGCCTATTTCGAACCCCAGCAACAAAGATCCCTCATAAGCAGAAAGATGGTATGGAACATCAAATAATAATTAAAGTGGGCTCCAGCCTAAAGAAAGGTCCCGTACCTGGGATGCCAGATGGTGGGCTAATTTGGTAAACCACAGGTGTCTGTGCAGTAGAAAACTGCAAGGAGAAATTTGTAGTTAAACAGCAGTCATTCTCACAGCAGCCCAACAAGATCTGATTATGCATTGCTCACAACACAGTTGGCACGCACATTTCAGAGAGTTGTGCTTTAGGATTTGATCTTTGAAGCAGATTCCTGCTCTGAAAAGAGAGCAAGTATAGATGTACCCTTCTTACCCTCTCTGCATTCAGAGTCTGGTTTGCAGCAATTTCTTGCACCTTCTTTGTGCCCAGATTGCCCATCCTGGTTGGAGTCAATCCCAGAAGATGTGGTTTAATATTTTAAAGAATTGCTAAGCCTTTTCTTTTTTTTTTTTTTTTTTTTTTTTTTGGCCTGAAGATTAGACCTCCATTTCATTTGGCATTGTGTCATCACCAATTAATATCCTCTTAAAAAACTATTTCTACATCATAGAACTGAGACTTCCAGTAGCATTTAATGAGCTTGTTGGGTACCTAAAAGCAATGTAGCCAAGAAAAGGCTTACATTGACCCATCTTAATACAGTATCAGAGATGTGTTCAGAGAAACACTACTTTGCCACCTGAGGGAACAAGGAAATACTGGAGTCACTACGGGGCACTATCTTTGTCTTAAACAGAGTCCAAGAAGGAGTAGAGAGATTTTGCTTTGAGGCAAGCTTCTCAGAAGATGGGGAACACACAAGAACCCCTTAGAAGTGGAAGAAGGTTGTCCTCAGCCTCCTTCCAAATGCACAAGAGTCCACATCCTCACCCTGCCTTGGTCTCAAACACAGGCACAGCCCTGCTTTTAGCAGGGAGGCCTTGGCAAAACAGCTTCAGTGCCTTACTCCTCAGATACCTGCTCTGAAATGCAAAAGTAATGTTGTTGTCATTCCTCTGTGCAGCATTCTGCACTCTGGAAATGAATAACAACAAGTAAAAAATAAGGGTCAGATCCACGAAGGAATTTAAGTGTCTTGGGCTTAAGGTGATCTGTAGAGGTGCCTGGCTTCTTCAGACGCTGTAAAATCCATTGGCCTCTCTTTTTTCCCAGGAGCCAGAAGTACCTCCAGAAAACTGGCCTGCAGCACTGCTAGCTGGCTAAATCCCAATTCTAAGTCATTAACTGCTGGATTTCATTAAACTTAAAGAAAAATTATGCTTCCCTTGTGTATTTGTCCTGTCCCCATCCCCAAACCATCCATTTCTCAGAACTGCCTTCACATCTCCATCCTTCCCACCTTCTTTATGAGCCTTCCTGTCCTCAGTTGCACTCACAGATGCTGCTGCCAGCTCAATAAATAGCACAAACTCATTTCCAGACTTAAACCAAGGATGCCATCACATATTTTTTTAAACCTTCCTCGAACCCCAGACCCTTTCAGAGCTCGATCTGTTTACGTCCTCATTACAGTCACGTGGAAAATGAATGAGTAGCCATAAACTCCCTTTAGTCATGGTCAATGCAGAGGAGCAAAGCACATTCCCTGGGCTGGAGCAGATGCAGAGAAAGAAGCCAAAACCAGCATGAAAGCCAGGGCCACTAGCTGACACCAGTCTTCAGAGCTGTTCAGACTTGTTGCTGCCTGCAGCAGGCTTTTTCAATCTGCTGCAGAGGCAAAATTAATTTTTAATACGCATAGCTCCCAGGTCCCAGTCCCAAAACAAAGAGACACACTGTGTTTTATTTAGCTTGGAATGTGTCTCATTAACAGCATCCCCTGGTGATTTTTCATCAGCTCTCTAAGCTAGCTCAACCACCCAATGACTCTTCAGCTTTAATGGGCAATTTACTGAAACTCTGGGCTTTCTTGCTTGATACTTAAAGTTCGCACAGAGGTGGGGTGTGACTTCTGAACACACTAGGCCTCATCCTGAAGCACACAGCCATGGATGTGTTCTCACACTGAGAGGCAAAATGCTGTGGTAGGGGATGTGTTATAGACTCTCAAAACAACCCAGCAACAGAGATGAGATCAGAACTGAGGTGTGAGCTTTCCTAAACCTGTACATTTTTGGTATGGAGAGCTGTCCCAGAGATGGAGAGGTCCTTTCTGTGATAGTCAGATATCTGAGCAGAGCTCTGGGCTGTTGTAAAATCTTCATCCTTGGAGGTTTTCATGACTTGACTGAATAAAGCTCTGAGAAAATAGCTGTGATCTCATAGCCAACCCTTCAAGCAAGAAGTTGGAACCCCTGATGTCCTGTTCTACTCAAGCCTGTGATTCTGGGATGGCATCAATTGCTCTGCACAGTGTGAGCACCTACAGTCAGCAAAAGGGTGGGCAAAGTGTCTCAGGTAGTAATTCCAGTCACTCGAGCTGAATGCAACCTCTCCATAGTCCTTGTTAATCCATTAAAACACAGTATCATTCCTTGTTTTTGATTTTGTCTCCAAATTGAAATAATGAAAGGCCTGAACTGGTATTTCTGACAGAACCAAGGTGGACTGAGAATAACAACAGCTGAAGTTTCCCATAGGTATTTCAGATGTGATATGATTTCTCATTACATAGATAAATGCCGTGATATTCATCATCTGCATCTATCTTTGCTTGATAAGCCCGTAATTTTTGGTACACAATGCTAGCCAGACTATGCACACCTTTACAAATTTGTTTAGTTGAAAGTGACAAATTCTGTCAGTAAGGCCCCAAGAGTCAGAGAAGTGTGATTCATTGCTTGGACAATGATTCTAGACAAGGTAAAAATAATTCACAAGTTGGTCTTCTGACTGCATGGCTTTGGTACAGAGACAATTTAACTTGAACCCAGATTTTTCCTTCAGAAAGACCTCAGGTCTCATAGCCTATCCAGTGCCAGACTGAATGCCTTGGTTCATCTAGTTTGAAGGGACACAAGGAACATCTTGCCTTCATGTCCTGACGTGCAATCAATATGAGAGATACTATTTCAATACATATCCTGTGATACAAAGTCTGAAGTTTTGACTCCCTTCAATGCCTTCAGCTGTTCATCATCACTTCTATCCTTTCTTGGTCGTTACCTTGAAAGTGTAGTTTTCTTTCTCTACCCCAGTCAAGTTGTTAATCGCACGTCCCTTAAAGGCCACCTCCACATAGTACAAACCTTCCTGGGGTGAAGACCTAGATGGGGGAAAAAAAAAGTGTTACATTATTTTTATATAGATTGGGTTTACTATTTTTTAGGTAATGCCAAGTCATTGGGACAATCTTATCAGGTTCATGAAGACACTCATAGAGTAAAACACTTTAATACTATGAACCCAAACTCAGAAATTACAGTGTACAAATAATATGAAGACACAGCAAGAAACTGTAGGTAAGTGCAGAAGGTGATAGGACTATACCAGAACATACATCCAATTTATATGTAAATGCAAAGTATATACACATGCTCATTAGTGCTCATTAATACTAATGAATAATTGTTCTTCATTGCTATTAAAATACCCCAAGGCTGCCTAGATTTACAGGGAAGTTTGATCCTGGCTTGTAAATGAATGTTGCATCTAAATGTACGGCACAGCATTCAGCAGGGTTAACTGCAAACCAAATCACAGCAGCAAGAGATGGGAGAGCCCCACCAGGCTCACCCCTACAGCCTCCTGAGTTGTCATGTGTTAGTGATGGGACTCAGTAGGTCAGATTGATGGTTTTACTTGATGACCTCGAAGGTCTTTTCCTACCTAGATGATTCTAGACTGTAGTCAGGGACCATACCTCGTTCTGCATCGTATACTGGGTAAGCCAAAATATACAGGAGAGACATCGCATGGCAAACTGGGCAGGTCTGGGTTCACCAGGGACACCTCCAGGTGGGACCAGCTGGCTGAAGAGATGTGTTCTGCCTGCTGGGATGCTGAACATAAGCAAGCAAGGTCACATAGAGGAGCTTTATGGGGACAGGACTAATCACATCCAGTCACACAATGCACACGTTTTTGAATGGACACTCCAGCTTCTCTTAAGGAGCAATATTTAGAGCCCCAAATTGGACTTCTGTTTTTTGTTTTTTTTTTTCTTTTTTTCCTTTAAATCATGTTTGTGTAATTTTGTGTAAAGAGAGATTTCATCTTATCATGTAGCTGCATGGCTTTTTGCCTCTAATACAATGCCTGCTCTCTCCCCAAAATATATTATTGCAGAGATTGACAGTTATCAGCAGTTTGAATCTCCTCAGCCATCTACACTGCACCAACCATCATAACCACAGATAAGTAAAGCACCTGTAAAATTAATACTTTTCCTTAATCTTTGCAGTTACCGATGTCCTGAATGGTTTTGCTGACAGCACCTTGAGTTCACCTGTGCTACAATATGGATCGGATTAGCCCATTTCCTCAGTGAGCTGTCTGCAAGGCTTTTCAACTTCAGAAAGTCAAGGTTTGAACATAAATTAGCACACTTAGCTTTTGTAGCTTAATCTAATACAGATAGAAATGTGTTTCTAAACATCCATCCCTTCTTTGTCTGTCTTCACAGGTGTCTCCCAGCTCACAGATTCATTTTAAGTCACATAAGTAGTTTCCCCATTTTCAAAGTGCACATTTATTCCTGGTCCCAGGAACATTTTTCCCTTTCTACCAATGCCTGGATGTCTGCTCCCCCCCTCAGAAATGTCTCCTAGGCTCAGTGATTGTCCCTTCCTGCTACACAGTGCTGTTCAAAGCACATCTTCCCTGAGAACACAAGCTCCCCTTCCCTCCAGTTCAGCAACTCTCCAGGAAATCACACTATTCAGAAAAAAATAAGACTGATATCATTTGTCACATTTACAAATAACCAAGTGCCAGAACTTGAGCAGTTTAATCAACATACGTCTCAGACAGACACCAGCTCTCTTCCCAAGGAGTTAATATTCAGCACTACTGAAAATCAGATGCAGTTTTGTAAAGTTGGGTTCGTGCCCAGATGAGCAGGGCATATCAATTTCTGTGATTTTTACACAGATCTCATGTTTAAATTAGTGTTTCTAACACTCCAGCATCAGACAGCCTATGAAGACTTTCAGACTTCCTTCAATTAAAAAAAAAAAAAAAAGGCAGCAAGGAGGAAATTTCTAGCCCTAGTTCTACAAAAACAAGGTAGGAATCTGACTTATCTCGCTTAGAAAAAAATCAGAAAACAAGCAACCATCAGCAATAGCTTATGAAGTAACTATATTAGTAGTAGTAACAGTATTATTTTTAGTATTACAACAGCAGAGTGGCGCAGCGGAAGCGTGCTGGGCCCATAACCCAGAGGTCGATGGATCGAAACCATCCTCTGCTAATTGCTTTTTGGGTGTTCAAGGAGAGGCTGGACGAGGTGCTTAGGGACATGGTTTAGTGGGCGACACTGGTGGTAGGGGGATGGTTGGACCAGATGATCTTGGAGGGCTTTTCCAACCTTTATGGTTCTATGATTTTCAAGCTGATTTCCTGTTCTGGGTGCTACAGCCCACATATCTGTTGCTCAGGATTTGTCACTCCAACTTCCAGTCTCAGAACAGCTGATTCTTTCTTCCTTTGGTAGAATTTAAAGAGCTTAGACTTTGTAAGAGTTTAAAACTCACCATCCAGGGTAATAGTGATCCACGTTCCTCCAGCAATGCTGCCCTCTCGGGGCTTAATGAGCAATCCTGTGGCGGACACTGCAAAAACAACCCAAGCTGAAGCATAATGCAAACACTGAAAACATGTAACTCAGGACAAAGCAAGGCATCGTGGTCTGGCAGCTCCTCCTGTGATTCCCTCTTCGTGATTCCTCCTTCCTAGGCCTTTAGTAAATTAGCCATATCACTCATCCTCCAACTGTGTCCCCTATGTAAAAGTCCTCCTTCCCCTCACAGAGATTTCATGCCTTCAGAACTTGGTGAAACAAGCCAATCTAAGCCTCTTGTCCTCCTCAGGAGTAAAATAATATTCCTCCAACTCTGAAAGAAGTGTTTGCTCACTTCTGTAAACTGTCCCCAAGTTTAGGGTGGCCCGCATAATGAATCCTCTTCTGGCTCAGACAGCCTTTCCAGCTCTTTCTTGGAGAAGTCCTTAGGAAACAAAGGCAGAATGGAAAGGAGCTCCTGCTTCATGAAACTAAGTTATCTGTAACTTACTATGTAGTATTTTCCAGAAAGACATCAAATTCTTAAGAGGATTTAGGATTTCTTTGGGGGGCACTTGTCCTCTGAAGCTAATGGAGTCAATAAAGAGTCCTTTTTACAATGATACCCTCTTTCCTGTCTATCATTTCAGAAGATTTCCAACTTCTTATCTGCATGGCAATGCAATCTCACCTACCATCCATATTCATCTCTCTAAAGAGAAGTATTTGACATACTTGCATCATGAACACTTAATATCAACATGGAAGCAATCACGACAGTCATCAAGCAAATGAAAACCAACACGTGTCAGAGGAACCCAGGTACAACAGGGACAATTAACAGTAAATCCACAGACATCCAGAAACCTCCACTGGCTATGGAAGAGTGCCAAGAAAAGCCACTGGTAAGGGTGGATAATATCCAGAATGCTGGAGACACTACCCCATAACATCCAGCGTTTTTCAGAGATGGTTCTGCACATCTCACGTGAAGTTAGGCTGTACCCAATCCAGCTGCAGCCTTGTATTGCCAGCAGGATGGGAGACAACACCTCTCTGCCACCCACCTGCAAAGAACACCAGAAAGGATGGTCTCCAAAGGTTCATCTTGGACTTCAGATGGGGATTTCATGGGATGGTGGCTCAGGACCTTAACACGTTTGCTGACAAGTTAAAAGAAACCCTATCTGTATTCTTCATGTTGCATTGAAGCAATGGTCTGTGTTACAGCAGCCAAGGCAGACTGGAAGACAGAATCATAGAAAACACATTGATTTGTATCTCACACAGTACAAAGGATCAAAATAATGTAATAATGCTCTTTCCCCACCCACCCAACACACCTATACAGAACATGTGCCCCTCTGAGCAGACCATTTTCCAGGTAAGCTCAGGATGAGCTTCCCCTCACTGGGGCCATGTTTCATGAGACTGGCTTGAATTAAGCAATAAGCACACCTGACTTAATTTAGAGACAATGCTATTAAGCTCTCCTCACTCTGTGCTGTTTCATACAAAATCCTTGCATGTATTCCATTAAATAAAATTGTGCCATGGTCATTTCCCAGTTCTGAAACCAAAAGACATGTCCTGACTGTCCTGTTCAGCTCTCTAGCCTCCCAGAGCTAGCCCCACGCACCTTCCCACTACTGGGAATGGTCTCTGGCCTAGGAATCGTTTTGAAGACTGCTGCTAGACTTGGTCACAACACTGCTGGGGACTGTTTTAATACTTTAAGAATTTAAATATTTGAGTCCCTGTAGCCTGGGAGGTTCCCTGGTCTTACTTGCTTTATGTGTTGCTACCACAGGCAGGCATATCACACATTCCCTTTACAAAGCCCATCCCAGAAACTGTTTAACATTGAAAAATACAGACCATCTGCTGCCTTCACCCCTGGTTTTGTACTGTTATGGAAATAGCCATGAGTCAATTAACTCAGTCACATTTTAAATGAGCAAAAGCCCCAAATTCTCACCAATGAGCACAGAAAGTGGCTGGGTCATTGGATTCTCACAGGATACTCTTCCCCTCATGCAGAGTGTCCCTTGGTTACTGAAGTTCAGATAAGACCTCAGAAACCCCAGGCAAAAAAAGATAAAACCAAATGGCAAGAAGCTGATTTAGGATTTCAGATTTTTGTTGCAGTGGGGTCTGTAGGACAAAGATCACAATCACTGGATGAGGCACTGCGTAATCAGTAATTATCAAAGAAAAAAATGACATGAAGGCGGACTTACCTTTCTGCTCCATCAGTTTTCACCACCTAGTGAAAAAAGACAAGGGCAGACATAGCTCTCAAGGCCAGGTTCCTCTTCACAGTGGAAGATCTGTGTGTTAGCACCCTAGGAAAAGTGCAACAGGTGAGCGATTCTATTAGAGGTGAGAGCTGAGCAGAAGCCTTGGTTATGGTGTGTACCAAAAGCACCATGGTCATAAAGCCAACTACTACAGTCATTGCAACCAGCAGCACTGCACATGCAAGCCAAATACACCTGAAAATTGGAAATAAGGACTAGAATGAAGCTGGCCACCATGCATCATTTGACTCGGCTGCAATGCCTTCAGTAGTCAACCCTCAGCAATGCACTGGTTTTGTAGCATGCTTTAACAAGAGAAAAAACATCCTCCAAGCCCCTAGCCAGCTTCCTCCTTTTAGTGCCCTGACTTACCCACAAAGAAGCTGCAGCTAAGTGGGAAATGACCTCTCCTAACAAAGAGCTAAAAATGACTGACCAGCAGAAACAGTGCATGCATTCAATGTCAGACATTCCCTGCTCTTTTTCTTGTCTTCTTCTCAAATCCAAACATGTGAATAGTCGGACTAGAGTGATACAGAGATGTAAGACAACAGATTAGCAAGGGTGCTTCTATTGCTTATCGTATCACACAAGTCCTGCTGTAATTACTCACTAAATTACTAAAAGGTGTTTCTTGCACCTTTTAACATAAATGCAGTTTGCAGAGGTCAAGTCCAAAGCCTTGATGCATGTGAGCCTTGCGTTTCAAAGCAGGCATATAAAAGGTCATTTAGGTGTATTTTTATTATCCTTATGAGGACTTTTTAAAGTATTACTCACCTCATCCTCTTTGTTGCTTTTCCATTTCTCAGAGGAGCAAAGCGTGGGGGCTCTGCTACCTGTATAACTTCTCCATCCCTTTGGCACCTGCTCTACCACAATTTGTGGTCAGAGGCTGTGTCAGGCACTCAGTGCAGTCCCCTGTGGGTAATCGAGTCACCTGTGCTGTGCTGAAAGCCACCAGACTCGTTTCTCAGCAGCCTCAATGCCTGTTGCAGGCAGCTCAGAGCTGTCCATTGCTCAGGCTTAATTATTAACCTAAGCTACTTGCTATTAACTGTTTTGTTCCAGGTCCTTAATGACCACAACAGGGGTAACTTGGAGTTTCTTGCCTTCATATATTGCTAGATCCTCCAGAAGGAAGATAATCAACCCATTTATCATAAAATCCTAGAACAGCTTGGGTTGGAAGGGTCCTTGAAGATCATCTAGATCCAACCCCCTGCCACGGGCAGGGACACCTCCTTTCCCCCCAACACGACAGAAAATGATTGAATGGTTCCTAGACATGCCTATATCCAATCTGGGAGTGGCTTTCATAAACAAGCAGAATTTGAGGCTTCTTAATTCAGTTTTTCCATGGCATTCCCAGCTGTATCAGAGTCTGGCAGGAATTCTGGCCAAGAGGTGTTGAGAGCTCCCACCACACCTCAAGTACCTACACTCCTGTGGGTCCTTACATGGGTAGTGGTGGACAGGAGTGTGATGGCCTTACACAATATTATCATCTACACTATGGAGAACTGTGTGCCTCCACTGGCTGCAGGGAAGATCCAGCTCAACATTCATCAGGTGTTGAATAGCGTTGTGAACATCACCCCTGTGAATATCATCCCTGCTCCATCTTCACCTATTCATTTGAAGCCCAGATGAATGGATGGGTTTTTGATGAAGCCACCAAAAACAAAATGGTTTGCTCTGGCCCTGCACTGGTATGGATGCTTTCATGGCAATTTCCACCAAATCTCACAGCAAACTCTCAGACAACAGCATAACTATGGTTTAATGAGTTACCATGCACCAGTCACAAACAATAGCACTGTGTAGGCATTTCTTACCTCATCCCCAAGGGGGGGTTGGGGGGTTGAAACAGGCTTGCTCACTCTTCCTCAGCTTCATTTCAGAAACACAGCAGCACAATGTCATGGACAATCAACCTTCAAGAAGTTTTGGAGCCCTGCCCAGCAATGGAACCAGTTGTGCTTGGTTTATTCTCAGACCAAGCCCCACTGCCTCAGCTGTGTTTAGCCAATTATTACAGGAACCCAATGAAAATTAACCCTAGCCTGCTCAATTGTCCATAGTTGTTTTACTTATCAGATGAATTGCAAACATGGCAAAGAGAAAAAAGAAAAAAAAAAAGAAGAAAAAAAAAAAAGGAAATAAAAAAGAAGAAGGCTTGAGGGAATGATCAGAAAATATTGTCAAATTGGCAGATCAAAAAAGGATGATCACTTGAATGCTAAAGGCAGAGCCAGATATTGGCAACGGGGCCCACCGATAGCCCCAAATGAAAGGAGGGACCATGAAAGGAGGGACAATGCCCAGGTTCCCTGCAGAAAGCCCAGCCAGAAACAACAGGAGGCATGGCTGGAGACTCAGCTACAGCATGGGGCCAAGCTCCAGCTAGAAGACAGGACAAAAGATGAGAGTGAAGACCTGTATGCCTATACCAGAGCTCAGCGTTTTGTGTTCCAGTCCTTAAGAAATGCAGCCCCAATGGATTTAACAGGGAGAGGGAGTTATCCTTTTGGAGAAAGGCACAGATTAGGGAAGGCACTGCACAGGGAACCATCCTCCTCAGCTGCTTGCAGTGGGAAAAGAGGGAAAATGGGGAGGAACATTGTCCTCAGTGAGCAGAAGCACGGGCCCATAATTCTGACCAGCTGAGGAGTGGTTGAGTCACCCAGGGGTCTTGTTATAGGAAGGGTAAATATTTCCCTCAGCATGCTGGTGATGATTTTTAGGTATCGTGACCCACCAAAGAGGAAAGTTTGAGGGAAGGTGCGTGTTTGTATACGTGGGCAAGCAAATTTCTCTTCCAACTGGAAGGAAATTTCTGCTCAAAAACATCACCCCATGACCTCTAGTTTTTGGTTATTCATTTGGAGGCTGCAGATTTTACACGTGCGAGTGGAAAACAGTCCTACAGGCAGCCGGGAACACGAAAACCAGTCCTGTGTTGCCCTCAAAAAGGAGGTAAAGGAAACCAGGAGGCTAACAGCAGGGTTTTGGCCACAAGGTGGAAACACGGAGCTGCTGCAGCCCTGCTGCCTCTTGGAGCACAGCTGAAAGGCAACCGAGCTGTGCCTGCTCTGTGGGGTGGCTCTGGAGAACGGAGTTTCCCCAGGATTTGCAAAGCTTCTGGGGTGGAAAATCTTGGCAGCAGCCAAGCCAGGGCTCCCCCCAGCCTTTGCAAGGCGGCCACCTCGCGAGAGGAACGCAGCAGGTGTGGGGCAGCACATGGCATCCCCCAGCTGAACAGCTGAGGGGGGATAATGTGGGATAAGGAGGGGGTTAGGGATTTTGTCTGCAGTCATTCGGGAGCTCCCGGCTCCTTCCCAGCCCTCCTGGTGCATGCACTGCTCCATACCGAGGGTACGAGAGTTTCTTGCCTGCTCCTTACCAACACCAGACACCATCTTGAGGGAGGGATGTGGGAACGCTGCCTGTTCTCACCATCCCCATATCCGTACCTGTAAACAGAGCATAAAACACCCCAGGGGAAAACAAGCCTAAAAGGTCTTGTGCTTGGAGCAGCAGCACCGTATTTCTCTTGGACATGGCTGTGGAAAAGCAGTCCCGTCTAAAGCAAGTCGTGCCATGCTGGGCACACAGTGGGGAAAAGCAACATGATCCACTTGAATTTAGGGATTAAGTCCAGAAATGGATCTCAGAGAAAGATTTCTGCTTTCTGTTGTCCTCATCAGCATCCTCTTCCATCCCCTACCCATCTCCCCGAGCAGCCTGCAAGCTGTGTATGCCCAGGAGGAGATGGGAACCCACTCCCACCACCAGCCCACTGCCCAAAATAAATCTGGGCTCTCTGCAGTCTCTGCAGCAAAACTCTAAGATTTGGAAGGTCTCTAAAGAAGAGAGGTGTCTCTCAACACCTCCTGCAGGCCAGCCTGTTCCTCAGACTTTGTGGCTACACATAGGAGTGAAATAAAAGCATAAGGGCTTGGGTACTGGATCTCCATGGGTCTTAACTGGTCCCTTCCATGGTTTTGACCTTGACTGTCTCATGTTAATCCAAACAGTTCCCAGAAATATGGGTGTGGCCAACCAGTTTTTGAGGCTGCTTTTGTATTTATTAGCATGGGCATGGCCTCAGGAGCAATGAACGGGCTCTGCAAGGCTGTCTTGCTCGTAGAGATATAGCCTGGAAGACTTTGCAAGCCGGTGTGTCCCACGAGGGCAGCCCCTGCACTGTGCAGAGCTCCCATCAGCTGCTCTTTCTTTCTTTCTATTAATACTTTGCTTTTTCTGTATTGATGCAAACTTCCTAGCAACCAAGGTCACAAGAGAAGGTGCTAAGAAGCTGGACTGATTATTAATAAATCCCGGGGCTTGCTGTCTTTTTTCTCGAGAAGCTTGTTAGGCACCGGCAGGCAGGGTGCTGAGCCGGGATTTCCAAGGGAACCTGGGGGATTTGGATCCCCAGCTCTGATTGAATTTCTCCCTCTGAATTCCAGCCTTCCTTCTCCTGGCCTGCAGCGCCCAGCTGGGTGAGGCTGCAACATGGGAAGGTGAGCTGTGACAGCACAGTAGTGCTAAGAATGGATCCTGCATCTATCAGCCACACTAAAATTATCCCCTGTGGTCCACAGGGGCTGTGCTTCTTTGTTTTTTTCTTATCAGGATCCGATGGTGTCCACAGATCAGGTAAATGCATTGCTATCGAGTCCCACCATGCAGGGTGGGCTGCACCCACTCCCTTCCCACTTCGCAAAGCCCTGAGCACACTCCGGATGGGAACGACATCACAACCTTACATCTCTGCCCTCAACAAGCTGCTGTGTTATGCCCTGGGCTTGCTTGAACAGGTTGGGCTGCCCACATGGTGAGAGCTGTGCCCTTTCCGTCACGGTCCTGGCCTCTGGAATAGGGGTGAGATAATTTGGTTTGAGGATTTGGATGATTCTTGTATGCTAAGATTTATTTCTATGTGTTAAAATAGCACAGAGATAAGTCCCATTGTCTTAAATCACTAATCACTCAGGTCTGGGTGCTCACAGGTAGGAATATTCAGCCAGGGGCACACAGAAGGGTTTCAGGAGCAGTGTCTGGTTTTGCCACACTCAGCCCCTCATTAGACATCACAACACGGAAAGCTGAGCATGAGAAAACCAATGCAGCTACTTCGTGAACGTTTCCCACATCAGGAGAAGAAAGAGCCCCTGGTAGGTCAGGAGAGGCATGCAGGTCTCCTTATCTTTTATCTTGTGTTTGAGGCACTGCTCCATCACCTCCACCAGCTGAGCTTCTCCTTGCTTGCCATGAAGGTGGGGTGGTGAAAGCAAAGAATATCGACGTGAACACTGCATGAGCTGAACTGGGGAAGATAAAAAGACTTACAAATAGGGATTGAAAGTCAACTAAGAAGATGAAAAGCAAAAAGTATCCTTTTTATTTATCGGAAAGATAAATATTTTCAGTTTTCCCTTTATTCCTGCTCCTTTCACTAAGAAAAGTGTTTTGTTTCCCAAAAGCCTTACATGGCATTTTTTCACCTTTTTCAGTTTTTAAAACATGTTATTACCACTACTTCTACTGTCATATATTCAGATAACATCAATGTATTTTCCAAATGTTTCAAAAGAAAAAGCACTTTGTTTATATCCCAGATCTAAATTTACAGTCTGTTGTGTTTGTCGTGTTTTGTTTTGTTTTGTTTCCCCCCCTGCAATCTCACAAAGCCAATGCATTTTCATTTATATTTACAGCCTGTAACTGAGCTGCCTGACTGCTCCTGGTTCATTTTGCTAGCCGATCTGAAACAGGCTTAACTCTTTCCTTTGAGAGAAAAAGTGTCAGTGCTTCCAGGAGCCTTTCTGCATGTCTTTACAGGGTCACGTTTCAGCACGATAAAACCCTGTTGAAGTTGTTCCCATAGCTACTCTCGCTGCATTTTAAACAGTCGACGAACTTCTTTAAATACTAAATTTATTGCCAATGCAGCTGCTTTAATGACAGGTTTGAGGCTTCTTTAGTTTCAAGGTTCAGTGTGTTTCGGCTCGTGTCCCCTGTGGTCCCATGGGTCGCCAAGGGGATGGAGTCGCCCGGCCGCCTGCCCGCGGCAGATGCTGGAGCCCAGGGATGCAGGAGGCAGCTGGGTAAGGAGAAACCAGCACCTTGCCGTGGATTTTCCTGCTGTGGTGTTGGGCTTTTTGGCATGCTGAAGGGGCTCCCCAGCTTCCATGGGACCTGCGAAGCACATGGGATGGCCAGGGAAATAAAAGGTCAAGGCCAGCTCATGGCCCCATCACAGCTGAGAAGGTATCCTAGATACAGAACCGTGGCTGTAAGGAGAAAATGCAACTTCAATTGAAGTACTGTCAAAAAAATCCTGGTACTGAGGTCTTCCCAGAGATATTCCTCTTCTGGGCTACTCATAGACACCACCTTGTTCACGTTTCCCACCAAGCAGAGCTCTGTCACAGTGTTATTGACCACCACTCCCTTGGTCTCTGTGTTAGGGGGCTCTTCCTCCTGCTAACAATATTACCCAAGAAAGGCCACGGCTCCGTTGTGTTTGGTGCTCTGCAACTACAGGACATGAGATAGCATCTATAAAAAAGAGAGACAAAGACACAAAACCCAACCTGACTTTGGGAAATGGGAAATGTGCCCACAGGACATCTGCGCAGGTAGGACGAGCAGCCCAGAGGTGACATTCCCCATGGAAATCAAGAGATGTCACTTTGCTAGGGAACTCTACGGAGGCGACACTGCAGACTAAAGCCAGAGCATTTGCTTAGATAAACAGCTGGTAGCAGATTGGGTTTCCGAATCAAGCTGCAATTCAGCACCTACTGAGCTTCATCCATCATTAGTCTTTCATTAGGAAGCTTGTTCTTGGCCTGGCTCCCCAAGTCCCAGGGGAATGATTCAGGCAAACACCAACTCCACCGCTGTGTCCAGCAGTCTCCATTCTTCCACCCATTCCTACCCTCGTGGCAAAGCAGAAGCCCAATTATTTCTCATTTTAATATGAAATCCCCTCTGTTCAATGAGTTTTCGTTTTAAACGCTGCCACCACCCCGTCCCCTCCATCCCCACTCCCCGTGTCTAAGCAGGGGGAACAGGTGGAACAGCTGACCCTGGCGAATGAAAGGAGAGCACAGTTTCACTCCCTTCACCCCTTTCTCACAGGCTGCCCCTGCTGTCGGTGATCCCCGAGCCCCCGGGGACTGGGGATTTGTGTGTATTAGTCACATGAAAGAGCAGAGCCTGCAGCAGGCTGCTCCCGGGCTTTGCTTCACCTCGAGACAAGAGAATGTCTTGCCACTGGATTTCTCAGGGCTGGAATCAAGTGACACTTTTTTTTTTTTTTTCTTTCTGTTTGACTTGCACAAATTGGCTTCTATGTAAAATGTGCTATGGATGTGATTTAAAAAAAAATAACAGCTTACTATGATCCCAGTTGTGCAGGGAAGTGTGTAAAGCTGGCCATTTAATAGTAGCTGAAAAGCTGAAATCTTTTTCTGTCATCAGATCTTTGGTCTCGTTCACCTCGCTGCACAGCCTGTCATCACACAGAGGGTTTGGGCAGTCTTAATAGTCCCTCTCAGTCCTAAATCTCCTAATTTGATATCACACAACAAACTGTAAGTGGAAACTCCACTAAGGTGGACTCATATTTATGTACCCATCAGTGAGCCACGTCTTGGGGATACTTTTCTTCTTTTGGGATTAAAACCACAAACTTATGGAAGTCTCACAGATGAACACCAATCCTGCACAACCACAAGAAAGCAACACAGGAATGCCAATAACTTTAAGTTTGCTCTGCATTGCTGATGTCTAAGAAGAGAGGTGTCACCATAGTCTGTTTAACCTTGGCTTTTATGGACATGTTAGAGTCATTTTCCTGCCCCAAGGTACAGCTCTCAGGTACCTCTGGTTGCCAGAAGCCACAGGACCACCACATCAGTTAACGGCAGCGGTTATAGCATAAGCAAACAGTTTTATATCCCATCCATCAAAAGCAAAGCCATTTTACAAGTATTTCAGGCACTTGAACACATGATGGAGCTCTGCTTATGTGATCACAGTCAGCTCATGCCTAAGAGAAAGCCATGAGCATCTTCAGGCAGGTCCCTGAAAGCAGAGGGAAAGATCCAGTCCCACCAGACAGGGGCAATAACATGTCTCTGTGGAAGAGAAAATAAAGAAAAAAATGCCTTGCCTGTTGGCACAAGTGCCCTGACCATTGGTACAACTACAGGACGCATTTGGTAGCTGCACATTGCTTTTCTCTCAAATGAAGGTTTAAATAATATTTTTGGGTTCCATTATGACCCAAAGTACCTGCTATCACTACTGCTGTGATCAGCCATCACCAAGATGAGATGATAAAATAAAATATTTCAATAAAATATTCAGATAAAATATTTCATACAGATCTTTTCTCCCCAGCCGAGGGCGCAGTGAAGCTTCACCGTGGTTTGTCTTGGCTTTGCTTAGTTGCTCATGTCCAGAGAAAGAAAGAAAATAATCAAAACCAAATACCTATAAATCATTTTTGAATTAAATCCTAAATTTGTTTCTCCAAACAAACAAACAAACAAAAAAATAACCTTCTTTCATACTTCCTTCTGTTTTCCTGCTTGTGCTCAGAGGGTCTTCAAAAACTGCTTGAATCCAGCAAGAAACCATTCCCTACCCTATCTTAAAAAATATTTCTGCCAAAGCACAACAAGATTTTTTTTTCCCCCAGCCTTTCACACTGCAAGAGACCTAAATACCCAGGTATTCACACAGCTCAGCTGAAGCCATCCTTGTGTTTTGCTGTACAAACACATCGACACGAGGAAGAAACACGAAACATGAAATAGAGGACAGGAGCACACAGGTGGGATGCTCGCCGTGATGTGCATGTCTTAATGCTTTAATTCAGAAGCTTTGCATGATTAAAAGGAGGTGTCACTTCCTTCCCCAAATATTCACCCCCTGGAAACAAGTCCATCCCCTTGTTCTGAGGGAGGGTGGCTCATGCGATTCAATCAGACACTTTTCAGGCAGTTGTAAATTGCATTTTCCAGCACTGTATGCATGTGTACAGGGGGAGGGCTGTTAAAAATAAAAGTGCCTGTGTTCCTGCTGTCAGCCCGCTACCCACCTGTTCCTCTTTTAGCCCAAACGCGTCCACCTCTGACCCTGCTGCGGGACCGAGGCGCTTGCAAAGCTGTGCCCCCAACCCCTCGCTCCCCCTGCTGTCCCCAGCAGCTGTATAAACCTCAAGGGCAACAGCTGGGGGCCAGGGCTGAATTCTCCATCCAGCACTGGGCACCCACTGGGCTCCAAGCCACTGGTCTGCTGGTGGGGACTCTTTATGAGAGTTGGACGAAGTTTGGAGAGGTCTGCGTTGCCTGATTTAACCCCCCAGAGTCATAAATCCAGTTCAATTAGTTCTCGAGACATGTTGTTAACATAGGGTACTAATTTGGTAATTGCCTTCCCCAAGGGAGCTCAGCTGGTGTCGCCTTGGGGATCTGCTCTGGGTGCTATGACCCTAATGGGCTCCAAAGCTCTTCACAGCCTCAAAGGTGGAAGGAGAGAAGAGGCAGAGAAATACTACCGAGTGCTAGACAAAGCCCAGAAAATGCCTGAAACTTGCTGGAAGGATTTTTTCATCCTCCAGAAGTCAGCCGCAGTCAGCTTCATGCCCTGCCTTTAGAAAGACAAAGATGTGAGGTTGATGCACCAATGCATGTGAGTGTCTGCCCCTCGGGCTGTTTTCCAGATCCTGACATGGACTTGGACCTTGGTGAGATCCTCCTTAATCAGTTTAATTGTAAAAGCATCAGTTGGATGGGATTGAAACTTTACCCTGTCCTTATCCTGTCTGAAGACGTACCAGCACTTAATGCTCCCCCAGGACCTTTTGTCCTGCCTTGAAGGCAGACAGAGCTGTCCTGCATGCAGAGACCTCCCAGTACACAGGAGGAAGCAGGAACCCACTCTTTCTATTCCAATAACAAATTAAGGTAGTCAAAACTGTACAGCCCAGCAGAGTCCTGCAGGTCGGTGGGACAGTGGCTTTCTGGCTTGGGCAATGGCTAGAGAGAGCAGTCCTGATGCTGCAGTGGGGGCTTGGCCCTGCAGCAAGGCAGCTTCCGTGGTGCAGCTACCTGCATCAGGTGAGAGGAGCAAAGAAATGAGGTCTGTTTTCTTCCCAGCAGTCTTACCTGACTACAGGGTGGCCTCAGAAATCTCTCTTCTCTCTTGTTTGAATTCAAAAAGTATTTGGAGACCTGAAGTGATAACTCCACTGATTGGGACTGGGTGCCCTAAGAGGTGCATTTACCTGGAGCGCCAGTTCTCTTGCTAGCTGTGTCCCAGATTTACAGGGGACCAGAATAATTCACTTAACCTCTTCAAGACTTACCTATCGATATGGACAGCAGCAGGAGTAATACGAGATTAATGACTTTTTGGATCCTCCATGGGTCTGTGAAGGTGATAAATATCTCATTAGCCATTTTCCCCTCATTAGTCCCAAACCAAAATCAGATGACATCCTCAATGTTTTCTGCATTATTATTAGCTTTGTTACCTTTACCACATCTGTGCCCACAGCTGGATAACATCTTGCTGTTTGCATGACTCTCTGTAGTCTGTTTGAACTTTGATTTCACAAGAAGTAATTGGGCCAAAAGGCCTATTGATGTGATATCAAGCTGCTGGAGCTGGGAATTATACTTCAAATCCCATTGACTGGGAAACCTCTTGTAGAGGAAACAAGTAGTTCTTGTAACACAAATTACTGGCACGGCTGAGGACCTGGGTGTCTCTGTAGCCTTTCTCTGTTCAAGCACATTCCAGCAGAACCCTACCCAGATGCCTCCAGAATGAACATGCTGACAAACCATGGTTCAGAAGACTTTGCTGGGAGATAAATTGAGTATTGGGTGCAAATTGGGCTATTTCTTGGCCTTTTCCTGGAGATTCCTGCCTGCTCCCATCCCTTAGGAATGGACATTTGGAGTTGAAGCTCTGATTGCCAGCATTGGACAAACCATATCCATTGGCTGTACCAGGCCAAGGCTGAAGAGGTCAGCAACTTGATCTTGCTACCAACTAACCCACAAACACTAAATATCAAGCTGAGACTCACAGATTGGGCATATCCCTGCAGAATAGGATTTAATTTCTGTATCCAGGCCATAAACATTCCAGGTTGAAGCAGCCTTGCTCACTCTGGAGTCCATCCCCATCACCTTCCCTACCAGGCCCCGTGCAGACAGGCTCCCCCACCCAACCCCTCTCCAGCTCCATCAGCTGTCACCGGCCCACATTCCTGCAGGACTCCCAGAATTGGCAGCCCTGGACATCTGCTCTTTTCCACCCCCACAAATATGCAAGCAGGTGTGAGGCACCACAACTTCCCTTGTTCCTCACCATTTTTACCCGGGCAGTGTGAATGAAGGCACAGCCAGAAGGGCAGATGCTCTGCCCCACTCCATCCTCCTTGCATCCCTCCAGGAAATGTAGAGAAGTGAAAATGAATCTCTCCACCACCACTGAAGTAAGACAAGAAAAGATGAATCTTACATCTTTTTTGCCTGGACATAATTCCCTCATAATTTTAACAGGGACTTCACACTAATGACAAAAACCAGAAAAATCTTCTTGGTGCAGTGCCGCACACAGTTACAAAGAAGTATCTGGAGCACATGCTTCTTAGGTCAGTAAACCTACACAATAATGCACGAAATAAATACCAGTCATATTATTGTCACATTTAAAGGACCCTCAGTGAAGACATTCTGAAGAATAGCAGTTGTTAGTGAAGACCAAGATAGAAAAAAGAGAATTTTTCACTCCTCATGGTGATTTCCTCCAACCAGACAGGCTACAAGTGATGATAGGCTCTACAGGGTTACAGTGCTAAAGAAACTAAGGTGGCAAAATGACATTACTATCCTAGCATCAGCCAGGTGTACCAGAATTACCAATGGTATCTTTACAAAATTGATTCAGATTTTAGCTTCCCATCATCAGCACAGAGGGAATTGGGCTGAGCCCCCTCCCCAGCCACCTCACGCAGCCTCCAGCAGCCTCCAGTCTGCTTGGGGAGGGACTCCAAAGAGAAGGCTAAGATAGTTCTTTTGCATTAATTATACAAAATAGCTTCCTATAATGATGAAAATTTCAGTATATTCAACATTTTCTTTCAAACAAGTGAGATTTTAGGGGAAAAAAAAGAAAAAGCAAATAAAAGGAAAGAAAAAAAAAAGAAAGAAAGAAAAATAAAAAAAAGAAGCTTCTATTTTGTGCTAAAAGTTTCATCTGGCAAGTGTGTGCAGTGCACCAGGGCAGTGGGTTTGGAGGGAGAGCCCCCTTGCAGTAAGGAAGGGGCTGATGCCTTTTAGGGAATTCAGGCCAGCCAGGGATAATCTAATGAGCAGATGGGTCCATGAGGGATCCCCGAACTAAACTGCTGCTCCTGATATCACTAAAAGATGTATCAGTAGTTCTACTTTTTGCAACTTTCTTGTGGCTGCAGAAGTCAAGTGCTGAGCTTGTGCTTTCCTGGGAACACCAGCTGCCAGCCTGGCCTCGTGAAACCTGGCTGTGCCCCCAGGCACCAGCACCTTTCAGTGACACCCAACCCCACCTGTGACACCAAACCCCACTGTCTGAGACTGAGAAAGGAGGTGGTGACCTTCTCTCTCTGTCCAAAATCTGCCAGGCGTTAGAGGAGAGAGTTTGTCAGCCACCCAAACATATTTTTTCCATGGAAAGCACTACAGCTGCATTTCAAAAAGCAGGCTGGAAAGGATGCTGAGCCCATGGGGAAACCAAAATGAGGGCCTGAAAACAGAACACAATGCAAATATGAAGCATTAACATTTGTCCTCCCATTTCTCCCATGTCTTCCAAGAGCAAATCCCAAAGGGAAAAACCATGAGCACAAGCCATGGAGCATCGCTGACAAGCAACATCAGAGACAGTTTGCATTGAATGGCAGGAGCTCTGGTAATTTATTCTCATTGCTAAGGGGAGAAAATGCTCCTTCACAATCTTATCTTCACAGAGCTGGTCAAAGAAACAGTAGTAGACAGTAGTTTTCCTACTATCCAAGATATTTCAAGCACTGGAAAAATGTTTAGAGAAAATATTAGTGTTTTCAAGTTGCATAGGTACACATAATTGTGAACTCAAAAAAAAAAAAAAAAAAAAAAAAGTTGTTTTGTTTTTTAAAGCTGGAACAACCAAGGAACAAGGGGCCATAGTTGTATCAGATATTACTGGATCAATGCCATGACTGGACCAATGCCATGTACCTCGCTAAGTGGCTTCTCTTAGATTCACATTTTCTTCCCCGTTTTCTTTTTCCTTTTCTTTTTCTTTTTCATTCTGTGTCATGTTGGAATTTGGAAACATCCTCAACTTTCTCAAAGTTTAAAGAAGCAAATTCAAAAATGTCATTTTGCTCCTTATTGTCAGATTCCTATGAGACCTAAACCTTAAAATTATATAATACCACTTTTTTCCCTTCATTTTCCACCAAAAATCAATGCTTAATGTGATTTTTCTTGTGTGGGGGAAAAAATACTTTTAAAGTGCATTCAGAAATTTATCAAGGAAACTTATCAGTAGAAGGAAACCAGTAGTAGGATGGGGGAAAAAAATAGGATTTATAGCAAAAAAGGGCAGCAAAAAGACTGTCTGAGCCAGTAATGTCTTAAAGTAGATGGAACAGGACCAGAAAAAACTGCCAGGTGTAGGAACCCAACTGTCTGTGCTGCAGGAATGCCCCAGTGTGATTTTGGCTGAGACAGCTATTCTGTCCCCAGCATTTTCCAGGCACCATTCAGGAGTTTGCATGGGACACAATGTCTCCCAGCAAGCAGCTGGATGCAGTTTTGGAGGTTAAAAGGCTTTAATACTGCCAACGTGGGCCATTTGGCATCAAGGCCAGGGAACTGTGCCAGTCCTGGTCGATTTAATTTAGATGCAGCATAAAGGGTGTGATTTTTTAAGTACTTGCTTTGCCATAAATTCCTTCCAAGAACTCATGCACATCATCCTGTGCCTCAGTTTCCCAGCCATAAAACACAAATTTCAATTGCACTAGCCTCTTCCCAGGGTGGGATGAGGACCTAAGAGGCCCCCAGAGGCTCTCAGACACCACATTAACAGCATCTGCCAGACAGGAGATTTGTTAAAACCTCTCTGCAAATATCCACTGATACAAATGGTTTCATTTTCATTCTCCCGGGGATGTTATTCTTTAAACAGACCTCACATGGAGGAACAGAGAAAGCAATGATAATTATCCGTGTACATCTAAAGACACCGACATGGGGAGGACCCATGTATCCATGTGTTCATATTCCTGGCTCCACCTGCAGAACCTGGAAAAAAGTTGGGCTCAGCCCCCACTATCAAACCCCAATTTCTGCAAGATCCCAGTTCCTCCTGTCCACATCCACAAGCACAGGAGCTGTACAAGGATTTAGACCACCTCCATATCCTTCTCCACCTTCTGCATCAACCCTCTGGCCATTAAAATATTAAACCCATGTACTTGCAATAAACACCTCTGTTCTCAGACTGAGAGACAGAACCGAGCCGTAGCACAGAGTCACCCATCGTCAAAAAGGGATAAAATTAAGACGTGCCCTCCCAGCATGGGACAGCTGAAGCGATGTCACTCAACATGCTGTCAGCGCAGTGATTGAGGTGGACAGGAGGGCTGGGACCAGCCACAGGCTGTAAAGGACACAGGCAGGTGGGAGGACGTGGCGATGGGGTGGGCTGGCCTGGGGGTAGGCGATACAAAAGGGACCGTGCTGGCAGGGAGCAAGAGGGGATGGCAGGAGAGCGTTTTGGGGGACAGCAATGCAGGGAGGGGATGAAAGACCAGGAGGATGTGTGTGAAGAGCAAACGATGCCAAGGCTGCAGAAAGCTGGTCTGCCCCATGCAGGATGAGACAGCAATGCTGGTGGAAATTCCTTAGCAATAGAAGTAGCTATTAGGGAGTTGAAAGGATGCTAAAGCAAGGTAGGGGAAATGAGCCCAGGCAGTATAAAACTGAGCGAGAGGTGGGGAAATTAACACAAATGTCTCTAGGGAGAAGGAAAATATAGAAACTGTGGTAAAGAGGAGAGGGGGAATTGCCTATGTCCCCATGCTAAACAGCATGAGGGGTCAGTAGTTTAAGCTGCTGTGAGCGCTTTTTTAGTCTCAGCCTTTGCTAAGGGACTCTTCAGCAACCCAAAGCGTAGGCCATGTGCTGGACAGCATTTCTGACCACATCAGCTCCTGTTTCCTTGGGGAAACCTTGATGAGGAGGAAGACAGCCCACGCTGAAGATGCCAGCCCAGGTGGCACTGGTGGCACAGGGCACAGGGAAGCGATGCAGGACCCAGGAGATGCGGATGAAGAAACCAGCTGCTGCTTTGCTGAAGGTAATGTCCGAGTTATTTTTCTTCTTGCAATATCTCCTAGTGCAGAAGAACTGCTGGTATTTATGACCAAGCCTAGAAAGCACAGGCAAAAGGCAACGCCATGCATCCAGCATTGTGCAAAGCATTTTATAGGAACATAAGGAGTTCTGGGCAGGGCAGACTTTCCCTCCGCTGGAGCCTGGCTAAGGCTGGGACTTCCCTCCAGCCCTCTGCAACATGAGGACAACCATTTATACAAAAATCTTTTCCATGAACAGTGCTTAAATGCATAGATTTTTATTTTTTTCCCTACAAATCCCTACCTGGACAGCATGGCTGATTGGGCAATGCAGGAGTCTCACGCAGCACAATCAAATAGCTCCTGCAAGAAGTTTCCCTTCAAAGTGCTCTTGTTCAGGCTCTTGGCCATGGACAGATGACAGCAAGGGACGTGTGTGATTCTCAGGAACATCTTCAAAAACAGGGGGTTGGTTTCCAAGTGTGGAAGAGCTGGCACCTGGTGACCTGTTGGCCTTGGCCTACAAGGTGGCCCTGAGGAGGCTTGTGGGGTCCCACTGGGCAGTGTAGGCCACAGGGGCCATGACAGCTCTGCAGCCTCTGATTGCTCCCCAGGAGGCACTCAGAAGGGTATCCTGGTGTGATCAACTCCTTCCAGTGGAGGTCACCTTCTGATTTTAACTCTCACCTGTAAATAATTGGTTTACAACACGTTTGCACTGCTGCCAAAGTTGTTTGTTAGACTGTGCCATGTCCACGCACTTTTTTATCTATCACCCCAGAATCATTATTAGATATTAAGTGCTTTCTCCAGGTCACAAGTAGAAAGGAGGTGTATGGGCATGCAAAGGTCCAAATTTGTCCCATTTACCCCTAGGCCCTTAAGGAAGGAGTCTGAGTGAGGACCACAGTTAATGCTGGCTCCTTTTGGACCCTCTCCTGGGCCCTCTCTGTGGGTCCCTGCCCTCACTGGGTGGCTGTTCCTTGTATTTCCAGCCTGGTATGGTGCGAGGTATTTTAATTGGGAATGAATAACTCAAGCTGTTGAGAGCCCAGCATGGGTTCATCCTCCTCTCAGTTCATTTCCTCTCATCTCAGCACATCCCCCGTGCGAGCTACAGGCTCGCTAGGTTGCCCCATGAAAACCACTTTGCCTCCATGCCTCAGTTTCCCCACTTGGTGAAAAAGCTTTGCTTAAGAGCAGGCATTTGGCTCCAGGGCAAAGCGTCGGACTGGCTAAACCAAATTTTATGGAGCTAAGCCAGATCCAAGACATAGGAGCATTGCATATCAAACCAGATAAAGCAACAAATGTAACATCAAGAACTACATTACTGCATTTTTATACTGAGTTTGAAGTGGTAGAAAATTGAACAAGGACATGAGTAAGATGGACAGCAACATTGCCACTGGTGATTCTGACACAGCCTTGCTGAATAACCTCAGGCAACTCATTTATTAGCTTCTATAGCTCTTATTCTGTTTAGTACTTCCCTTTTTAAGACTTTACATATATGCTTTCTAGGACTAGGTGTTTCAGTGGTGCTCACTGAGGCTTGGTTCCCACTGACTCCAGGCAGAGGGCTCATTCCCTGTTAAAAGGCCCTGGCTCTGGGTAGCCAAAAGATAAAACTCAAAGACCTGGCAGGAGCTGAGCCTTTGGGAACTGTGTGAAAGAATCAGAGCTCAGCTCATCCCTGAAAGAGCTGAGACAAAGAGATGGAGCCTCAGATTTCCCTTAAAAGGCAGTGAAGGAGATGCGTGGCTTGTGGAGCAAACTCAAAAAACTCTGAGATAGTGTCATGAAACCCCACCAGAGATCAAAAAGGGCAGGCATACAAATCACCTTCAAAACCCATGTGCCTAAATGTAGTCTTTGTCTAGACAGGCAATATTTTGCAGACAGATGCGAATTTGCTTTGCTGAGTTTTATGCTTCCTGGATGCTGTGGTTTGGACAGTGTTTAGATGAAACCAATTAGTCTTGCTGCACAAATATACCCTTTAGGCACCTAGTTTGACTAAAATGTTAACTGATTTGCCCATGGTCATACAGAAAAATTGCAAGAGAGACAAGAAAAGGCTCTACATGGGTTGTTGCCTCATGCAAAGTGCCTTTTGGTGTAGATAGGGGGATAATTAGAATCACAGAATGTCCTGAGTTGGAAGGGACCCACAAGGATCATTGAGTCCAACTCCTGGGAGAATTAGGAGGGCAAATTGTAATCATGCAAGGGTTGAGAGGGTAAGCAAAGATTAGGCAAACATTAGGCAAAGTAAGCAAAAGGATTAAGGAGAGAGACCTCAACCCCTTTTAAGTCTTAGGTTGACTTTTTTTTCCCCATTTTTGCTCAATGGGAGTAGATGACATCAACCTATTCTGTTTGCACTGCTGTCACATCAACACATCTCACCATGTACGTACATGTAGACAGAGAAGTGAAAGCCTGAGCAGCCTCCATCCTTCCAGCAACAACTGCTGCTGGGGAAGCATTCAGCATGCAATCCACGGTGGAAAAAGAAACTTGACAACGAGCCCAGATGAGCGAGTGCCTGAATGCCAGGCGTATTAGGGAGCACGTTTTGAGAGTATCGCCTGCCCTCCCATCCTCAGAAGCAAATCGTCTCATTCGCAGCCACCCTTGGAGGACAGCTGTCCCATTCTTTCCTCCTTCTCCTCCTCACACCAGTCAGGGACAGATGTGGCCCTGGATATGCCTCAGATGATTGGGTTACCCTCAGCAGCTCAAAAAGGCATGATCTGCTGGCTTAGTTTGCATATCTGCTGCTCACAATGAATATAGTTTTCCTGGGTAGTCAGGAAGAAAGATGATGGCTCTAAATGGATGCATTTATACCCCATATGCTCCCTTCATTGCAGACTTTGGTTGCCACTCTTGTGAGGCTTTCATACTGTGTATATGTCCCATTCAGCTCCTTAACTTTTAGTAACATCTGTAATTTCCAAATTGATGCTTTTTCATTCTACCTTTTGTTGTTTTTTTTTTTGTTTGTTTGTTTGTTTCTTTGTTTCTTCATTTCTTTGTTTTGTTTTTCTTTCTGTTTGTATGTCTTTAATCTTGCAAGATCGTGGAAAATCCATCCTACTAAACCTCTACTGCAACAGTCCTAGTTCATTCAAGTAACTTAAATTACAAGATCTTGCTCAAAATAGGTTTTAGCATTATGAATAATTTCCCATTTATACCTGTGTAAGTTTTTTGTGGTACACAAAGTGGACCAGACTAATGTATATAAATAAGGAATATTTGCCTGTCTACATGCTTGGGGTCAAGAATCTCCCAAGAGACGAGTTTGGTTTATCTCTAATCGCTCTGAATCCACTATCTAGTCCCAGAATGTCTACAATCATTTGATATAGGCTTACATGTATGTGAAGTTAAGAACATGCTGCCAGTCAATAGCTACAAAAATCCCTTACAATTTATAGAAGGATGATGCATTTTCCATATTACAAAATTCATCAATGCAAAACATTTTTCCTTTAGGACTCTTCAGCTCAGTTCATAAAAAAAAAAAAAAAAAAAAAAAAAAAAAAAAAAAAAAAAAAGCATCAAGGAAAGCTTTCAGAAATAAGTGATCTTGGGTGAGAGCTGCTAGTCTTTCCTGTGAGGACACAGGAGTTAAGCTTAGCAAAAATCAGAAATCAAAATAAAAGGTTTGATCAAGAGGACTGCTGCCCATGGAGCAATGAGATTTTTCCTTCCTTTTCTTTACTACTTGATTTCTATAGCTTTCTCCTCTTATCTAGAATTTTGGAATAAAACTATGAATTTTGTCAATAGCATTTCCTTCTCTATTTCCTAGGTAGAAAATTCCCATTTTACATTACAGCCTGCAGGAATGGGACTCCTCTCTCTCCTGCCCTCAGTGTTTTCTAGGTTAAGTGTCTGGCCTCCCAGTCCAGACCATGATGTGTGTGTCCCTTTCCCTTTACTGTGCCTCAGTTTCCCTGTCTGACACCTACTGGGACAGATTTGCATTCAATAACTTCTGTGCAAATGGAATGCAAATCAAGAAATGTGGGGTCAAAGCCATAATCATCACTTTGCAATCCTAAATCAAATTTATTTGGCAAGAATACCATTTTCCCTTAAAGGAGAAAATCTCAGGAGAATATACCGTTGTTGCAGTAAATCCTACTGCAGTCTTGTTTGCAGCCTCAAATATATAGCACAGAGATTAAAAAATAATATTAATAAAATTGGTTCTATCTACCAG